CAAATAAAGGAAATGAAAGGAAGGCCAAAGGGGAGAGATTAAAATTAAAAAAAAAAAAAAAAAAAAAAAAAACCATGCAGTTACTGCATTGTATTTAATTGTTTCCCTCCACATTTTTTGCTTCCATTTTATGTAAACCTTAATTAAACCTTGTCAATTTACAATTCTCTTGTGTCTCCGTGAACTGCGAGAGAAACTGTCGATTGGGTCTCTCAGTTTTGCTGTCTTGAATTCTTCTGGATTTGCTTTGTCATGTGGTCATGTCAGCTAAAGGAAAGTCCACTGTGACAGAGAAGAGAGAGAGAGAGAGACAGAGAGAGAGAATATAGGAGAGGGACTCTTTCCTTTTACCCTTTTCTCAGTGTAGAGTACTCTTTCAAATTCCAGCCTTTCCAGAATTACTCTGTTTTTCTCTGTATAGTCCTCTCTTTTTTTTTTTGCCTTCTTCCATTAGATTACAATAGCTGTCACCATCTTTGAGGTATTTTTGCTTTTAACTTTTTATCTCTTTTGGCCCCTCACTGGGACTGTTTTTTCTCCCTATTATCTTTTTAGTGGGTATTTTTCTATTTATTTTATTTTATTTTTTAAAATTTTTTAAAGGGGTGGTTTTGACAGAGGAATGGTTGATAGTGAAGCAAGTCTACTTTTTGTCTTCTTCTCTGTTTGATTTATATTTTGCAAAACTACATTCCATAAATTTGTCTTCTAATCTCTCTTTATGTTCCCATTTCTGCTTTTTTCTCAGATTAGTAAATTTGTGTGCAGAGAAATGCTTTCGGAGTCTTAACATGGCCAGATCAAATCAAGGCTCGAGAATGAGATTATGTAGCGGTTTCATGATGGGTTTTTGCTTTTCTTTCTGGTAAAATCGAGGTAAGAGAAAAAGTCCTTTGAAGTCTCTATCTTTGCTTCTATTTTCGTTCATAATATTCTTGCCCAGTCTGTGTTTTTTTTTTTTTAAAATGTTTGCTTGTGTTTACAGAAGTAGGAGTGCCTGCAAGCTGTTCGTTAAAAAACCCAACAGAGGAAAAAAAACTGAAAAAGGTGAATTGGAGTGTCCATCTGATACAGAAAAATGAGAGATTTTCCTTCTTGTTTCGGAGAAAATGGAGTCCAAGTTGCTGATTCTTCCTCGTCAAACAGCTCTAAGAATGCCCAGAATTTGGTCACTTGTGTCTACCAATGCCGGCTAAGAGGAAAATCTTGCTTGATTACCATCACGTGGAGTAAAAGCTTGATGGGTCAAGGCCTGACTGTTGGAATTGACGATTCTTCAAATCAGTGTCTCTGTAAAGTTGATATTAAGCCATGGTTGTTCTCCAAGAGAAGAGGGTCCAAGAGCTTAGAAGCATATTCTAGTAAGATTGACATATATTGGGACCTTTCTTCGGCGAAATTCGGATCCGGGCCTGAGCCTTTGGAGGGGTATTATGTAGCAGTTGTGGTGGATCGGCAAATGGTTCTCCTCCTTGGAGATTTGAGAAAAGAAGCTTTTAAGAAAACTGGTGCCAATCCCGTGGCCTCTGATGCTGTTTTTGTGGCCAAGAAAGAGCACATCTTTGGCAAAAGGGTCTTCACCACCAAGGCTCAGTTTTGCAACAACGGTCAAAGCCACGATCTCGCGATAGAATGTGACACCATTGGGGTTAGTGACCCTTGTCTCGTGATCCGGGTCGACGGCAAGAATTTGATGCAAGTGAAGAGGCTCAGATGGAAGTTCCGGGGAAACCACACCATATTGGTTGATGGGCTTGCAATTGAAGTCTTCTGGGACTTACACAATTGGCTCTTTGGTGCATCACTTGGAAATGCTGTTTTCATGTTCAAGACGTGCCTTTCAGCCGAGAAGTTGTGGGCTAGTCAACCGCTGTCAGATCCGAATTCGATGCCGTGGTCTTTTTCGCAGAGATTTACTGATAGTAAAGGGCTAGGACTTGGCTTTTCTCTGATATTGTATGCTTGGAAGAACGAGTAGAGTAGAGGGCAGAGGTTCTTCGTTGAAGTTCTAACTGAAGAAACCTAGTGAGTGGTGATTCTTGTCAAACATGCTGTTGGATTATACCAAATTTAATTATATATGTGTCCATTTGTTCTTTACTATCCTTATTTTTCATTTAAGTTACTTGAGCCACATAATAGATGCAGACCGTTTTGTTTTCTGCTGGCTGTATATCCTTCATACAGCGTTAATTTCGCTCTCAATTTATCTTTTTCTCTAGTGAGCATTCTATTGAATTTACAGTTCAATTGCTTCGGAGAACATTGTTTGCCTTTTCGTTCATAATGATCTCATTCTCAAAGCAAGAGTAGCTGTTTAGAAACTGGAGAACACGCTTGCATTATTTCTTTTCTGTTTATTAACTATCAGGAAGATTTACTTTCATTTCTAGCACTGAAACCAGCACACAACACTGGATAAAATCTGAATTCCTCTGTGGGGTGTGGGGTTGGATCTTGTTATGGACATTTTCATGTGTGTGTTTGTACTTGTTTGGTGTGGTGGGGCTGATTTTGTTGAAGTACCGGTTATGTCACATGGTTATTTTCTCATATATGAGCTAGCACTTACTCAAAATGATCGGAAGTTTTGCATAAAATGATCGCTGGAAAAAGTGATATATTCCTTATCCTCTGTTCTTCAATAATCTTCATAAATTGTTAATCTCAGGTGATGTTTGCATTCTTAATAAGCCATGGCTCATCCGTTTCGTTTAATATGGTTGTATGAAAAAACTTATTAGATAATGTATATTAATGATTAGAATTTATTGTAAATTTATTGGCATTCTTACAAATTTGAATTGATCGTGCTGTGTTATGCTTAGGTTCAGATCAAGCCACAGTATTTAGCATCTTACCCTAAGTAACTGATTATGATACATCGTTTGTGCATAACAGAACATGCATTGCTATACAATCTCAAGATCCTTATATGCCCCTTTAGTTCTTTAATTTTGGAATTCAGATTCTACAGGAGAACAATGTTTTCGTGCCACTAATTATTTGTTTGATAATACTGAAACTTTTGCTATTTTAATTGCTTCTCAATCCACTAGTTCATACTTACACGGTTTCTTTAGTTTTTGTTGTTGTTGTTGCGTTGTCTTTTTTTTTTTTTGTGTGTGTGCGCGTGTTCTTTGTGGTAGTTGTGTAGCATATAGGCCAGAGGATTTCATTTGCATTTTATTGTTTCTTGCTTCTTGTTGGAAAGCTTGTTTGTTATCAAGTCATTTGGAGCATAGTTCTGGAGGTTAAGGAGGTGGAAAAAAAAAAAAAAACAGAGGTGATGCTGGTTTGGAATGGCTAAAGAGCTGAAACTTTATCGTGTCAATTTGACTATCTCTGTGTGCATAAAAGGAAGGAACAACTCCTAATAGGTCCTGATTTGAAGTTAAAGAAACATTGAAAAAACACGAGTAATCGGTCATTCTCGAGTTTGATCAGTTGTTCTTATGGAGGAGGCTGCAATTCTAAGAACAACATGCTTTGTCAATGATGCTTCAGGCCTCAACAGCTGAATATTACAAGTTCTATGTCTACATGCAAAAAGTAAAACTCGTGTCAATTTGACTAGTTTCTTTTGAGCATGTGGATTTTGACATATTCATGTCCTGATTGAAAACATTCATTGATTTTGATCTCAATGGTTTGGTTGTTGGTGTAGTTGAAAATCTTCTGAGTAACATCAGGCAATTGATTTCCCTGCTGAAATAAAGGTTCAGAACCTTGTACTTGTATTATAAGTGACACTTCCGTTTGTTAGATTACTAATATTTGCAACATACATTTAATTCATGTTCTTTAAAAGCCAAGGTATCATCTTGCATTTATGAGCTTTCAACTGCATAATGTATTGTGAACTTGTGATCAACATTTGTACGTTATTTTATTAATTAATGACGAGGCACCGCTCAAGGACAAGTATTTTGTCTCTTACTGAGCTATTATTATTGCCGTCCATTTGCAACTGAAACTTGTTGATCTTAAATTTCTCTAAATGCATCTTTCGTTTATTTCCCAAGGCATATCTAACCGCCTATTGAGAACTGCATACCGCTTTAAAACATGCTAATAAGTCATTAATCTTTATAGTCTTTTCTTATAATTGAATACTAAATTCAGATTACTTTTACGCATTGTTGTATATTCTTCTTGGCTTACATATGAAGAATAATCTATAAATCAACCTTTAAGAAGGCCTTATGAAATACAGTCAATTATGGATTATATATGTTTCTTTTTCAGCCTAATTTGCTGCAAATGGATGTCGAAAGACAAGACATCTCTATTCTCTAATTTTTAGGCATGAGAAAAACCCGAAACTTTTAGACTGTTGCATTGCTGCCAAGTGGTGGATAAACTGGTGCAAGGTGGCATATATCTGGATTTCTGATGGTGAGATAAATTGCATGCCCGTTCATTTCGCTGATTTAAATTTAGAATTTGAGTTTAAATGTGACTTTATGTGAGAATTTTTTACTGTAACAAAAAAGTTAGATATGACTGTTTGTGAGAGTTTTTTACTATAGTAAAACTTGAATTCTAAACTCAAATCAGCGAAATGAACGAGGCATGTTTAGTTCGTTGATTCGAGTTTTTAATTCGAGTTGATGTGTGATTTTATGTGAGAGCTTTTTACTGTAGAAAAAAGTTAGATGAGACTATTTCTAAGAGTTTTTTACTGTAGCAAAATTCAAATTCTAAACTTAAATTAGTGAAATAAACGGGGATAATGAACTTCTAGAGATGGAAAATGGTTCCGGTTAAACCCCAACTCATAAATATCAATATATTTCAACTACCCTTTTCATGGGTCGTGCTGAGGACTAATAATTATGTGAACGTGGCCTAAACTCATTTTACTTAATACAAATGAAAATATGACGCCTAACCAGTATATGCTATCCTAAGTAGGACCAAATAACACATCCCAAACCTGACCATAACCATGTAGAAAATAATAACTACGCTCATTTCGCAACTACAAGTTGCAGGTTTAGTTTAACGGTAAATTTACATGTCAATATCTTTAATGTTAAATTGATAAGTGTAGTTGAAGATTTAACTTAGCAGTAAATTTACACTTTCACTTTTAATTTAAAATGTAGATTTCAATTTTCAACCCAAAATTTTTTCCTTCAAAAAAAAAAAAAACAGAGAGATAAACAAGTGTTGTTAAAGGCGATGTTGCATTGTATTAGTGATAACAAAAATGTATTGTCCAGCAGAATCACCATTCTAAATTAGACTTTGATTAACGTGCCAGGAAGTGCACAATCAATTAGTGCCATGCACATGTGGTGGCCTACAATAACATGTAGCATCAATATGGATGAAAGTCACATCCCATATTTTCTTTTTTGTTTGTCACATCTAGTTGTTTACTTAACATGAGCCTTCTTCTCATGTACTGAATAATTACAGTCCTCTCTAACAATACCCAACTCCGAACCTACCCTTATCTCTATCTCCTAAGTTATAGCAATTTATTGGACAGTCTTGTTTTATTCAGCCCAACTACTGGTCGAAAATACTCAAATGATTTATGACTTATTTAAAAGGCATATTCAAACCGTGATTTTTAATTTTAATTTTTTATAAGATAAAAACACTATAACATAATCAATGATTTGAGTTTAAGGAGACGTTTGGTTCATGAATTAGATCATGTGATTAGAACTATTTTTGATTTACGTGTATTTTTTATGAGAGAAAATACTGTAACGAACCATGAACCATGATTTGAATCCTCCAACCAAACATCCCCTAAATATACGAAATAAACGAGTCTTATCTTTTTTTTTTTCATTTCGGTTTCTTATTTTTTCTATCATGGGGCCAAACATCCCCTAAATATACGAAATAAACGAGTCTTATCTTTTTTTTTTCATTTCAGTTTCTTATTTTTTCTATCATGGGATGTTTTGGTTTTTGACGCAGTTTTAGGGTACGTTTAGTCTGATAATTTGAGTTAAAATGTGATTTTATGTGATAATTTTTTACTGTAGTAAAAAAGTTAGATGTGACTGTTTCTGAAAGTTTTTTATTATATAAAAATTCAAATTCTAAACTCGAATCGGTGAAATGAACAGGGTCTCAACACGTCGTACGTAGTAAAGAGGGCTAAATAGTGACAAAGTTGTTATAGAGTTCTATCCATTTGAGGAGTGATAGGGAGGGAAGGGGACCATGACCATGACCCCTTCTTATAGCCAGATACATATTTGAACATTAGCAAATGGAAAAATAAATAAAAAATAAAAAGATAAATATACTGTAAATTGCACCACATATGTCATCGATGTTGTGAACAAAAAACAGCTAATTGAAAATTATTGTTCCCATGAAAAGACAAAGAAGAGGTGCTTTCCTTTGCTTAAAAGTATTACAAGAGGATACAATTATCGTAGCAGGGAATGGATTCTTATTTATTTGGATATAAAGTTTTATGGTACTATAAAGAACCAAATTCTGAATTTCTTATCTGGCGGATAAATGCCATAGTGTGCCTAAAGAGCATATATTGACCTTACTAGGTCTTCTGAAATTTTTGTTCAGATGTTTTTAGCACAAGTTTTACTCCATTATAACTTACAACTCCTTACTCCGTAGTAATATTTGAAGTTTGAGAGAATAGGATTTTTATGAATGGTTTGGCCAAATTCCGTTACAATATATTTGTCTACAAATTTTACAAAACTGTAAAGAATAACAAATGACCTAAAATCAGCAAATGGTAAAGATCAATGTCTCATTCGCTTTGCGAATTTAAATTTTTAATTTAAGTTGAGATGTGATATTCTTTTAAAGTTTTTAACTGTAATAAAAAAGTTAAATATGATATTTTTTAAAAATTTTTAACTGTAAAAACTTATAACTGAAAATTCGAATCAGTGAAGTGAAATGAACTGCGCTCAAATAAATGTCATGATTTTAAATCTCATGAACCACGTATTTGACTTTTTTTTTTTGTTTTAATCAGGCAATGCAACCATATATACATGCGTGATAATATTTTGACATATATATACACACATATATAGCCAAGCTGGTAATCAATCATCATGGTCTGGATATAAAATGGCCGTGATTAACGTTCTCAAAACGCGTTTTGCATGTCAGTAAAAGACCAATCAAGTCCCAAGATTTCAGCATGGATGAGACTTTTTTATTGATATAATTATTATTTTTAAAAGTAAAACTAAACTCGATTTCTTTTTACAGCAAAAATTACACCAAAGCAGTAATTCAGGCTTGTTTACTTCACTGATTTAAATTGAGATGTAATTTTATGTAAAAATTTTTATTATAACAAAAAAATTAAATTTAATTATTTTTAAAAATTTTTAACTGTAACAAAACTTGAATCAGTATAATTAGTGAACTGTCAGTAAAACATGGACAGCGATGAGCTGGCGCACAACGATAGAATTAATTCTTGAGCATTCCTTTTTTGAGGCTTCCAGGTGTCATACAGCTGGATTATGCTTCACGCGAAATTACGTAAATAACCCACGCCATTATATTTAACTAACCACGTGTACGCTTTCATCATCTACACTAACGACGTCGTTTCCACCTGTCGGTTGTGCCATCTCAGAATCGCCCATTTTCTTGTGGGCAGAGAATAAGGTACGCGCCAACTGACCGTTATGCCCATTCCAACGGTCACCTGATTCATCCAAATGATGAAAAGGACAAGAAGTCAAAGCCTTGACTTGGGGACAAAATCGTCACACTGACCGAATGGAGAAATTCCAAGTTATGTAAATTCGGTACTGTTTCGAGGGTGTTTCCGCAATTCTAGGAAATTGAAGGAGAAAGAAAACTGAAATCAGGAGAAAGGGAAATAGAAAAGAACAAGAAGAAGGCGGAGAGAAGTGCACGCTTTCGGAAAGATTATTTTCTTTTGTGTTTTCGTCGGTTGAGAAATAAATTCAAAAAAATATCTTTACCCATTACTTTATGTTGGTAACCGAGTCATGGGCGAGTCAAGCGACTCAGTTTCCATTGACATTGATTTGATTCCTTTAGGAGGCAAGGTAATCAAACACTTATATCTTTCTTTAATGGGTTTTGTTAATTCTGTGTTATTTTTTTATTTCTCATCTTTGGTTTTAATATCTGCAATGCAACAACATTTGCAGGAATGTGTAGTGAAAACAAGCAAAGGTTCAATCTCAGTTTTTGTGTGTGGGGATCAAGAAAAGCCTGCTCTGATTACATACTCTGATGTTGCTCTAAATTGTATGCTTTTTTATTTATTTATTTTTTATAGCTTCTGAATCCAAAATAATTGAACTTAGTTTCTGAAGGCAGTTTAAGTTGTCATTAATGTCTCAAGTATTACTTGAAAGATTGTTTTTTTTTTTTTTTGTATGTACAGATATGTCTTGTTTCCAGGGTCTGTTATTCTGCCAGGACGCAGCTTCTTTGCTGCTTCATAACTTCTGCATTTACCACATTGATGCCCCTGGTCATGAGGTCAGAGTCAAGAATCAAATTTCTGTTTGTATTTCTCTCTATTCATTGTTGTTCTTATGATAATGTTGGCAAATCTTAATGGATTTCTTGTTCTTGCCATTTGTTTAAGAGTCCTTGCAGTTAGGAGCTGATGTGATTTCTTCAGATGTTCCCTTGCTTAGCGTCGATGACCTCGCAGACCAGGTTGTTGAAGTGCTCGATTTCTTTGGGTAATTCCATTGATAATTCTTTTAAGCTAGTTTTGCTTTTAGTTGATATAGCCCCAGAGGATAAGATTCACGTTAAGATGTTGGATGCCATTGAAGGGATAAAGTTAAGACTAGGAAGGTTTACTTTATTAACATTGATGCTTAGCTTGAAAATCATGCTTAATGTTACTTGAAATTCACTAATCTATTTGAATAAAGACACCCCAATGCTTCCAAATGTTTAGTGTTAGACATTATCCATTTGGGTTCATATGATGTCTGACTTTTAGTTATTTTGTGTCATTCAAAACAGAACAAGTGTCATTTAGCGGTTTTTGAATATTCATTATGGTGCATCTTGTAAAGGGTGTCGCCTGATTTATAAAATTATAGCAGAAGTACTATTAAGTATATACCTTATATTGTATTCTTGTTTCTAGTCTTCTATCTTAATAGCCAGATCCAAAAGGTGTCCTTTACTGTGGTTCTCAAATGCAGGTTTTGTTTTTTTTTTTTTTGTGGCTGAAAATTGCATATTTTCTTAGCTCTACATTTTCTCCTCTAATTTAATCAGGTTGAAAGAGGTCATGTGCTTCGGCGTAACTGCTGGTGCTTACATCCTTACTCTTTTTGCAGTAAGTCACGAATACTGCGATATCTTTTGAAGAACTTTCTTGGTCTTATTTGATAAAGTAGTTATTTAAATCTTTGGCAGATGAAGTACAAAGAACGGGTGCTAGGATTGATTCTTGTATCTCCCATATGCAAAGCACCTTCGTGGACTGAATGGGTTTACAACAAGGTTGTTATCTCCTATTCATTATTACAAAGTGTTACCACCTGTTAGAATGTAAAAGAATCGAGGCAGTAATCAAACTCGTTGCTTTTATTGCACATGGAATTGATATAATGAAGATGAATGTAATTACATGTTCCCCGCTCGGAACTATATAAGCACGACCTTAGCTAGTTAATCAAAATCTCACTGTATGACACAAGCCGCCTTCTTATAGCTGTGTTTCTGCTGTTATGATAGCGTATGATATTAAACATAACAAAAAGGGGAAGATGTCATGTACATGTCCCACTCCATATTATGGAGAGCCAGTTGGCTAGTTAAAGTTTAGAACTTTTTGAGTCTCGACAGTCTTTCATTCCTCGTGAAGGATGTTACCATAGAGGCGTGATTGTTGTTAAATTTTCCTAAGATTTTCTCAATTGTGCCGTTTCAGGTCTTGATGAACTTGTTATACTTCTATGGCATGTCTGGTGTATTGAAGGAATGCCTCCTCCAGCGCTACTTCAGCAAGGTACCTATTCCAACTTACCTTCTCATTAGTGGTTTTAACCCTTATCCTGGTCCTTTTATTTTTTTAGGAACTTTTTAAAAATAATTTCATGTCTCTTACTTTAGGAACTTAGATGTGGCATGCATGGTGCAGAATCGGACATAATACAAGCTTGCCGAAGGGTAAGAAGCCTCGGTTTCGATAATATGTTCTGCATTGTTCTATAAGTAGCATTGATAAAGTCAATGAAGTGGTGATTTTATGAGTTTTATTGCCATTGATCATCCTATGACATATCATTGCAGTTACTGGACGAAAGACAGAGTTTGAATGTCATGCGTTTCCTTCAAGCAATCAATGAGTAATATCTTGTCTCTTCCAAGTTCCAATTCACGTTTTCTCTTTAATGTCAAATTACCATGGACCAAAAATACGGATTCTCAACTTGTAGGAATGTCTTGGCTGCATTTATTTTACAGGAGGCACGACCTTACGGAGGGATTCAAGAAGTTGCAATGTAAGACACTAATTTTTGTGGGTGAAAGTAGTCCATTCCATGCTGAAGCGTTGTACATGAGTGCCAAAATGGATAAAAAGAGCTGTGCTCTCGTAGAGGTAAGACTATCTTCAAACTTTTTCTTCTTTACCATCACGGTTTTGCTACAAAACCTATGCAATTACTCTCATGTTCTTGTTTTATCAAAATCTTATGTAAATTACGAAGAACGGTTTCCCGATTCTTAAAAGATGCTTGTTTAACTGACTTTATTTGTGTCATTGACAGGTTCAAGCGTGTGGCTCTTTGGTCACAGAAGAGCACCCATACGCCATGGTAGTTCCTATTGAGTTATTCCTGATGGGGTTCGGCTTCTACCGACTACCACATCTTGCTACCTCGTCAAGTAATGGTTCGAACCCCACCAGCCCGTCAAACTGCTCATGCATAGCGCCAGAACTTCTTTCTCCAGAGAGTCTGGGAATCAAGCTCAAACCCATCAAAACCCGGGCAGACACTGCTATTTGACAAACAAGGAGATTACATCCTTAAAGCTATTAAATTAAATTACATTATGCCACTTCACAACACGGGTGTGGAACCTCAACTTTGCACGTTCGTTATACATATATATAGCTCATTATATAGTTGTATAATTTTCTTTAGAGGAAGTAGGCTAAGTAGCAAAATTTTTTTAGCTGTATTGCTTGGGATAGCTTAGCTTCAAATTTTGACTAAATGAATTTATTTTAGAGTTGAATGTAGATAGATAAAACTAGGAATGTTTTACAAATGTGAAAGTAGGAGAATTCTTTTGAGGGGGAAGGGAAGGGGATTTGTTCTGTACCTATCATTCATTTTGTACTATTCTCTCTTTCTACTTGTATAATTCCTGTGACAACTTTACCGCGAAACCATCTGTCGTTCTGTTATGGAAGACATTTTGATATTTATTTCTCATTGTTTATGATTCTCTTTGTAAGCAGTTCTAGTTTTGTAGTTCTCTACCTTCCGAGTTTATTAAGGGATGCATGATTCAGCTCTACGATACTTTGGTGAAAAATAATTGAAAGGAAATGCAATTTTAATTTCTACGTGGGCTCTGCCTCGACCTTACTAGAATAAGGAGAATGAGACAAAAGGTGGTTGTTGATTATGAGAGTTAAGAGAAAGAAAGTGTAGATGAATGATAGTGCTGGAAGAACGGGCGGCGGGTCTGCCCAAAGCCCAAAAATTTTGGGGGTGGGCGGGCAGGGTCTTAAGTTTGCCCGTTTAAGTTTTAGGTTAGGCTCAGGCAGCCCGAAAATGAAGCAAAAAAACAAGCCTGCTACTGTGGAAAATTCATTACTTGAAGTCCGCATGAGTGACCTGCCTGAAATTTTTTAACAGTGTGTGTTGATTTTAATCTTAATTATAGTTTTAATATAATTTTTACAATAAATAAGTTAATAATTATTTATATACAAATACAATTAATAAAAATATTATATATAATATATATACACAATATTATAAAAAATAAAATAAAATATTAAATAAATATATATATATTAAATATTTGGGCAGCCTGAGCGGGCTCGGGCTGCTCAAAGCCTGTTCAAGGTCCCGAATTTTTCGGGTGGACAAGTTTAAGTAACGGGCACAAGTTTAATTTTTTCGGACAGTTACGGACGGTCCTTCTAAAATTCCGTATGATGAAAAAATACATTGTGAAACAAAGGTGGTTGTTGACTATGGTCACGTCCAACATAGCTACCTCTTTGCCTCGGTAGGACAAAGGAGCGAGACCCCTCTGTTGTGATGGTGTGCGAGGGGGCTAAACCCCTCAAGGTGGCTAAGGGCAAGTGTGCTCGATGTGCCCCATTTTTTAACAATTTTTTTTTAAATGTATATTATTTTTATGTTAAAGAATTTGTTACCTGTGGAGTTTTATTTATTTTATAAAATAATTAAAGGTAAGCTGAATATTTTGAATTTAATTGGCGAATTGATGATAGAGTGGAACTTTTCTATAGAATTTGTAGAACCAAAGGATATTTTTATACCTTATTTTCACATGCCAATACTACAACGTAACAAACGCGACGTAAAACACGCGATCGTTTACCTACTAAACAATTAAAAATTAAGCCATTTAAGATAATTTTTCCAAGAAGAACAAAAAATATAAAAGGAAAAAAAAAAAAAGGGAAAAGGCCAAAAAGAACGGAGAAGTAAAACGGCCGCACATGACACCTAACACACAACTGTGGTCCCCAAGAAAGAAGAGAAGAGAAGAGTGGCCGCTTTTTTTATTTTTATTTTTCTTTCTTTAAAGCTATTTCCTTTTTTTTATTTTTTTAATTGATCTATTTATTGTTAATAATAATGAAAAACAAAAAGCAAAAAAAGAAAACACTCTTTCCCGCCTTCGCGCCCCTCCCCACTTTCATTTCGTACCTCAGTGGAGGAGAGAGAGAGAAAAAAAAGGAAAAAAGAGTCAGAGCAGTGAGAAAGTGCGAGAAAGATAGAGAGAGAGAACGAAGAGAGAGAATGTGGATGAAGTGGTGCAAGAGTACTGAATCGGAGCTTTGTATTCGGCCATGGACACTCCAGTGAAGAGCCATTCCACCACTACTCCTTTCTCTTCTCAATTCGAGGTCAAAGCTTCTTGCCCTAAAATCCATCCCCAAAAGTTTCGCTGGAAATTCCTTCCTTATTTATGCTTTTCCTTTTTTGCACATCAATTTATTGCTTTTAGTTTTTAGTCTCCGAATCCCATTTTCTGCACTTAGGTTTCTCTGTACATGCTTGATTCTTCATTTTTTTCCCCTTTTTGGGTTTTACTGGAGCCAAATTACGTATTTAATCTCAAATAAGCTTGCATTGCTCTTCTCTCAGGTATCTTGTTTTGTTGACGTTATTCATTACTAAGTGGGTTGTCTTTTTGGTTGATGTTTATTTGTCTGTGATCTATAGTTATGATTATTTGCAATAAACGGAAAATTTACTTATAGTCTATCCATATTTGAGCGGCTAAGCCATTCCAGGTTTTTTTTTCCTTGTTTTATAGCTGCATGTGAGATTCTAGTTCTAAATCGTTCCTGATTATTTCTGTTTGCGATGACAATGTAATGCACTACTGATTTCCAAAATTTGCCCACTTGCAGGACTCTCCTGTCTTCAATTACATTAGCAACCTTTCTCCAATTGAGCCAGTCAAATCCGGACATAGCAATCACACTTTGAACTCATTAAATTTTGCATCTCCGCCGTCTGTCTTCACTTCACCGCAGATTAGTTCCTTTAGCGAAACTAGATTTTCGCTTAGAAGGTATATTTTTTTTCATTTTCTTTATTTGCTGCACAAAAATGTGGGTGGACCTTTATAATCTTAGTGCTTCAATATTGCCATTTTTTATCAGGCATAACCTCTTGGACTCATCTAAAACCGAGTCCTCTCAAAGTGAAATTGAAAATGCCATCAAAACAACTGAAGGAGTTTCACTTGCTAGTCAATCAGAGCAGCTGGGACATTTAAATTCTGGGAATTCCGCAAGAGAGGTTAATGATGAGCAACCCACTGAAAACTTCGAGTTAGCAGTTGAATTCCCAGGTACTTTGAAGTATGATTGCGGTAGTCCCGATGACAATCCAGTACCTCTTAGTGTTGTTCATAGAGATGTTATGTTGGAGGCGGGGGAAACAGGGGCATCTCTTGTTCAGTCTGTCACAGATGATTCCAAAGTGGGGCACTGTTTGTTTGAGAGGGAAAAAGATTTGCGCAAGATCAGTCGGGTTGAGCAAAGCAAAGACCTAGAAGGTTGCGATTGGGTGAATGTGATATCTGATTCCAATAATCTGCTTCGTTTGGATTTGCCAATCACTAAAGACCACTCCGAGGAGCAGGAGTTGGGAATGGTGGATTCTGGTACGATTTCTTTGGTCTCAAATGTTCTAGAGGACAATAGCAATCATAATGATCGTGGAAAAACAGTGTGCATTTTCCCTACTGGTTCTAGTGAACAACTTGGGATGAAGGCACCAGGTATTCAGCCAGAAGGGATTGTAGGTGTGAAGGAAACGGACCAAACGCCAGCAATGCTCTCTAGCACCCTATTGAATCAGCTGGTTGTTAGCAATTCAAGTGATTTGGTTGACGGCAAGAGTCAAAAGTATATCAACTCCAGCACTACGGTAACATATTTGTGTTATTACTTATAACTTTATATCCATAAATCACAGGATGAATGTGAAGGCTTAGTAGTCTGTAATTCTGTGTAATTGAAATGACGACTAGCATGACCAGTTTCGGGTTTTCTGAATCTCATCAATATAGATCATACTAGCGTGTTGAAGCTTTAAATACACTTATACTTTAGCATTATAAAACTACCATACAAAAAGTCATCGTAAGGCACAAGCAAGATAAAGCATACAGGCTCTTTGTGAGTGACAAACTTTTCTATAGAAAGTCAGATTGTAAATCAAATTATGAATTATGATTTTGTTTGGTATAAAATCGCAACTCAGAATCAACTTAGATTTTTTTTTTTTTTTTGGGTGTGCTCTGCTTTGCTTTTTAGTGATTAAATTTGATTTTTCATACGTTCTCACTGTAAGGGGATGACTAAAGTAGATTGTATCCTTTTTGGACGCACAGCTTGTATTAATATTGATCTTTAATGTTACATAATGAATTAATTGCTATATTTTCTTTTTACAGCCTTAGTGAAATATGTTATTTACTTAATTTTAGGCTAGACTAACTTTTGTTTGACCATATCAGCCTAGTTCTCAGTTGCATCGCACAATCAGAAGGCGCTCTCTGGTTTTTGAAAGAGCAGAATCTCATAAAAGGAAGTCAATCTGTGATTCAATACAGTCTAATAATAAAGCTGCTACTTCTGATGATAAATTGGCACTGAGCGGTTATTCTTTTTCCAAGCTACCTGGCATTGGTTTGCACTTGAATACTCTTGCAAGTACAAATGATGGTCTAGTTAGTAATGAGAATTGGGCTTCTGAAAGTCAACTAATAAGTACGCCAAGAATAATGAAACCTTGTTCTCTTGCACTGCCTGAAGTTCCACCTGATAATTTGGAGAGAGCTTTGGTTCCCTGGGACGGTGAAACTCAAGTCACAGAAACTACTTACCAAACCTCTGAATATCTTGTAGGTGAAGAGTTAAAGCATACCAGTCCTCGAAACAAAAGGCATGTTAGAAATACTTTGTTTCTTTACTCAACTTTTATGTTTAGCGTTTTAGATTTGGTATTCTGTTTTGATGTTTCTCATCTTGCAGGTGTAAGTCCGAACAAGTTGGAGAAGACTTGGCTTGCAAGCGCTGTAACTGTAAGAGGTCAAAATGCTTGAAACTGTAAGTTTTATAATTTAATATTTTTACCACAATCGGTATCTAGGACCAATGTGCATAATCTTGTTATTTGAATATGTCAAATCGTCTGTGTCAATTGGGATTGGTTTTTTGACTGAATTAAACGTTAAATTGTTCTGTACTAAAACATTTTCCTCATATCATTCTCATAGTTTCTCTGTCATATTTTGCAATGCAGTTACTGCGAATGTTTTGCTGCTGGTCTCTACTGTGTTGAGCCTTGTTCATGTCAAGATTGCCTTAATAAGCCTATTCACGAAAATATTGTTCTAGAGACTCGTAAACAGATTGAATCACGCAACCCACTTGCATTTGCTCCCAAAGTGATAAGAAGTGTCGATGCTGTTTCAGAATATGGGGTTAGTAATTGTCCTTGAAATTAAATACTTTATGCAATAGGCCATCGTAGTATCAGATTCAAGAGGCATCAAATAGCATGACGACCCATCTCCTTTCCCTTATTTCAATGAAGAAGGACCTTGCTATGAGATAATTGCATCATTTTCTTGCCATAATTTATGGGCGATGTTTGGGTTGTGATGCTGTTTGATGCCAAAGATCTCTAAACAAGTTCTTTGGCAATATCCCTGTTCATTTTCTCACATGCCACTTGTGGTTTCATTCCGTGCAGGAAGAAATAAACGGAACTCCAGCTTCAGCTAGACATAAAAGGGGGTGCAATTGTAGAAAATCAAGTTGCTTAAAAAAGTATTGTGAATGCTATCAGGTACTGCCCAAAAGTATTCTGCAAGCATTTTAAAGCTAATTATACAAACTCTGTTTTCTGTTAGGTTTTAATCGGCTAATATGAATACTTGTGTTTATGTATCAAGGGTGGTGTTGGATGCTCTATGGGCTGCAGATGTGTGGGATGTAAAAACACTTTTGGTCAGAAGGATGGTGACATTGGTAAGTATTCCCATACCTCGTCTTCTGTAAATGCTCTAATGTTTGAGTTAAAGTAAACCTAAATGCAAAGGATTGAAGGAGCGAGCTGTCAAAAGATTAATTAAATGGAAAAGGAAAAGGAACTGCACAAGACATACCGTAGTCTAGTTATATTACCTAATGCGAGTGTAGCTTTCCTAGTAATTGCAGTTATTGTCATCTTGATCCAACAGGAACTGAAGAAACTGAATTCAAGGAGCCGAAACTGGAAACCTATCAAAAGCATGCACACGATGTCAGCTTAGAGATGGCCAAGGACCAAGACCTCCCTATAACACCGTCCGAGATTGGCAGGTTTTCCACTCCACTGGAACTCTTAATCCTGAAAACACCCTTGTTGTTTCAAAATTTTGAGATGTGTTATCCACAGTTTTTTAAAAGCCCCTCTCTTTTGCAGACCTTCGAATCAACAGCAACTCAACTTTAGCAGGAAGCCCCGGACTTCTCTGTATTCTATTGGATCATCTCCTCAATTGGGCAACCGAGAAAATCGTGAAAAGATCAGCTTTGAGTCTCATCTGCAAATGATTCCTGAAGATGGAACTCTTGAGACACTGGAAAGCAGTTGCCCACAAACTAGTGGGGTCAAGTCAACCTCTCCAAACTCTAAAAGAGTCTCACCTCCTTATCGCGAGTTTGGCTCATTGACGGCCCGGAGGAGTGGCCGGAAGCTGATTCTGAGGTCCATACCAGCATTTCCTCAGCTTTCAAGCCACCATGATAGCGATGGTTTTCCGGAGGAACACAGCCAATTTTAGGTATATGGTATTGTTGACCACTCCTACTCTACTTGCATTTAATAATACGGCAGTACAGCTTCAAGTGCAAGGCTCGAATCCCATAAAATCTTCCTCTAGCTTCTTTTTTTTTTTGGTTGGTAATTGACTTTAGCTTTAATACGTTTAGTGTTTGATTATATGTAGTTGTAGAGATGGTGAAGGTTATGTGTCTAGTACTGTCGTTGAACTTGAACATGTTTCTTTAATATGATGCTTGGGAGAAGATAAAACAGAAAACATATCGAATTGCCTATTTATGTTCTCTACTTCAAGATTATGGGTTTGGTGCAGCAGCAAAAACACTTTTGAGTTGAGATGTTCCCTCAGCCGTCGCCCGGCACACCGGTCGGAGCCCTGCCGCGCGTCCCAATGCTGTCCCTCCCTCATCGCCGCATGTGCGGATCACCACGTATTACCCAACCTTATCACCAACCAGCAGTGAGCAATTCCTATTAAGATTATTTTCGTTTTTCCAGGTTAAAATTTGTTTAAATTAGGGTTTAATTTTAAAGATGAATTAGTAACCTGCAGGAATTTTGTAGGAATAATAAACTAAGTTTTTTTTTTTTTTGTTGTTTGTTTTTTTTTCTTCTTTCCTTCAGAATCAGAAGTGCTTTTAGAGCATGCAATGTATGAATTTAGAGGAAATATTAGTTTTTCTAAATTAGATAGCCAGTGTTTTTAAAATTAATTTGATATTTAATTTTGATTGCAATAAGGAAGTCGGGAGAAGAAAATGAAGATGAAAATCTTTTCTTAAACATTAGAGGGCAAAATGTGCTTTGCTTAAAAAAGAGTGTAAGAATCATCTAACCTGAAGGAATCTTTATGGTAATCTTTAGCGGAGACTTTCTCTGGCAATTCTTATAAAAATAGAATATCGATAGTCACTTATTTTTCAGTAGTTAAATTTATATTAAAATTTATCTGTTTTGTATATTTTTTTTTAATTTGATGTGATTGACTAGATTCAACGATTAAAAACTGAAACTACTGATAGGCCGGACTATTAGAGAAACTCCCATCTTTACAGCAGGATGTGTTTTTGTTCTACCGATAACTGTTATTTTTAACTATTGGATTAATTTTTTAATAGTCAAATTATGCTTGGCCACATTAAAAATTTTACAAGACATGACATAGAATTGCTCCCATTCCAGATCAAACCATTAAAAAACAAGATTTCGTTCATTTTACCATTCGAATCACAACTCAGATTCTTTGTTATAATATTTTCTCCAAAAAAAAATTAAATTTAACTTTTTATACTATTATGTTTTCTCACAACGAGCAAAACAAACACGCTTAATCTTTCACCAACATGCTATACTTTTCCACCTGACTTGTTGGTTTTTCCATTATCCAATCCACAACAAATCGAATGAAACCTAGTGAAAAAGACGTGCACACTTTGTTGAGGAACGCAGTTTCGTGTTTGTTTTTCTTCAAAACCCCCAAATGCGCTCTCAGTCGCCACTACTAACGGGATCTCGGTTGTCTTCCCTTTAGCTAGTTTGACTAATGTAAGGTGTCAGGTTTTTTTTTTGTTATTGTTTTTCTTTTGTTTTCTCTTTTTTTTGTTCTTTTTTTTTTTGTGGGGGTGGGGTTGGGGGTTTAGGATGTCAACATAAAATAAAAACGACAGCTACAATAAGTATAAAAGCTTAAATAAAAACGAAAATTAAAAGGAAACGACAGTAAAAATGGAAACGTAATAAAAACTAAGTACAAGACGACAAATTTTAAAAAACACAAAAGTCGAAAGCTTCCAAACGACATCAAAGATGGAAAACGATAATAAAATAATAATAATAAAAAGCAAAGCATTACGACCAAAAACAGCGACAATTGTTTAACAGGGGGAATGCAGCGAGATACGTATTTTGTAATTACGACCAAAAAAACTAGCCTACGGGATGTTAAGGGTTTACTAATCAGCCGCATATCTTACAGAATTTGCGGGATGATTATAAAAATGCCAAAGCATTAGTTTTAAGCAAGCACTGCAAATTATTCTCAACACCAAACATGTAATGGAATCTATAATTAACAAAAACGCACAGCTAGTACACGATCTTGTCCAATAAAACTTTCTACGCAACATATGCTCTGCATTCAGCATTCAGTCTAGTACGAGCAAAATCTCATCAACATAAATTCTACTCATCAATAAAAATCCACAAAATTGAAAACTGAGGTAATATTCCCTGCTCATAACAAAGAGACTCTTGTTTCATTATGCCCCGACAACTTCGGTGACCTCACCCTCAACAATTGTTTCGTCGGCTGGCCTGTCGACCTTCACGCCAACATCCTCTGAGTAGTCACCGTGAACCTAAGCAGAACCAAATAAACGAGTTTTGAATCCAGACAAAAGCACACCCATAAAACAGTGTATTACTAGCAAAAAGCAACCTATGAGTTAACGTCCAATTTAGGAACCATCTCTAGACTGAATAAAGATAAAACGTCCGATAATATAGAATTCAGAAAAATGGAACCGTATACAGGGGAGAAAATGGTAAATACCTCCATCAACTTGCCAAGATCGAATTTAGGAGCCTTAAGGATTTTAACTTTACGAATGAAAACATTCTGCAGCGGGTAGATGCTAGATGTTGCCTTTTCGATCTCTCTACCAATCATCTCAGGGATGAACTTGTTAACCAAATCCTTCAGGTCACAGGATGTTGCCTGGTTGATCATAATTTCTCTCATCTTGCGACGAATCTGACATAAGCCAAGAAGAAAATAAATGTTACTTGTGGCAATCTAAAAGTAAATAGTAATCAACGTAGTTGAATGAATGGAACATTATATTCAAACCTGGCGGATCTGGCTGGACTGGGCATAGCAGGTTCGCTTGACTTGGTTAGCACGTCTTCTTGTGAAAGCAATGCAGAACATCCTGAGGGTGTAGTTGTCAGTAGTCTTAACATCTACATGGGCCTCAATCAGTGTCTGCCACTTGCGCACAAGTGACCTCAGCTTGTCGGTGGTAAAGTCCATTCCCTGTAAATGATTGAGAATAAATATATTTCATCTTCACACAGAAGAAAAACAATATAATCCTATTTCAAAAACAAAATAATGCAATGAACATATAGGAGCTTACCCAGAAGTTTGTTAGCACATTCTTCCCTTGCACATCCTCAGCTCTCAAACGGATCTTCCTGTAAGCATGATCCTCATCCTTTTGAAGATCAGCCAGCGAAACTTCAAACACTCTATGTTTGAGTCCTTCGGAAGCAATCTGTTAACAGAATGTGCAAATTGACATCCATAGATGCAAAACCGAAAAGTTACTAGCTCATCACAATCCAATTTACCGCTCAACACTAACAGAAAAGCTTATTTTCTAGAAACATAACTAAATAGAACAATAAACTGGACACAGCACGCCAGTACAGCTTAGTATTTCATCAAGTTTTTCAATCCAGCTTCATGTTCTTAAGTCTTTTAAGGGGACTTTCCAGAATTCAGTAAAACACTCGTTATCGTGACGTGGGGTGATGAAACATGTATTCTATCCACTAAATATATGAGCAGAGCAGAAGCTGTTCAGATTTCCATTTGTAATAAATTCTCAATAGAGTGTAACAATAGCAAGTGGCTCTCACAAACGGTAGAGAGCACTTCAAATTTTCTCAAACAAATAAACAATTGACTTCAAAAGATCTTACTCACCAAACCAATACAGACATAAACAACAATCACCAGATAAAGCTCGTAACTCTTAACACATAAAGACCCGCCATTTTCTTAAACAAGATTGAAAGTTTGTAGCTTTAGGCGCATATGACACTCACAACCAATCACCAATAGATATCAGGCTATTTATGAGCCCCAATCAACAAAAATAATAATAACTAGAAAATCAGAGAAAATGTATAAATTACATATAGAGGAGAGAGAAACCTTGGTTCCCTGAGTTCTGGTGACAAGGGTTTTGCCAACTTGTCTTTGGTTGAAAAGAGAAGGTGCCTTGATGTCATACCAATCCTTCTTGGCAAACGGATCGGCGCTGTATTATTTTAAAGATTCAAGGTTGACATTTCATTTTGCTTTATTTTCTCAATTGAAAGCTCAAAAATTTAAACATAAAATCGACTTCAAAATTCATCAAATTAATCCAACAAAATTAGGGTTTGTAAAATTCGACTTACGCCTTCTTCTTCCCTCCCTTCTTACCCTTCGAAATCCTCTTGTTCTTCCTGAAAACCAAATCACGAGTTCAGCAAAGAAAAGCAAAAAACAACCATAATTTCAGAAAAAGATAAGAAATTTGCACATAAACACGAATAATGATACATCAAAACACGAAGAAGCAAAGAGATGTACCCGACAGCCATGTTTGCAGAGACAGAGGAATGCGCTAGGGTTAGGGTTTGGGTTGGAGAGGTGGAGGCAGTGACTGTAATGAAGCAGCTTAATAGACAAACCCTAGCGCCAGTTGCTAAGCATTCTTATATGTCGCTCTTGCTTTATATATGTGCCACTCTTTTACTGGTTTATTTGCGAAAAGCCCACGCGACTACTTTTGTCTTTTTTTTAACCCTGAAGATATTTGATTTTCATTTTTCCCTTTTAGTTTTTACCGTTTGTTTTAACTTCTTTTCACCCATTGATGCACACACTTCCTAACACCAAAAAAAAGTAAATAAAATGGTTAAAAAGATTTTTTTTTTTGAAAATGGTTAAATGTGAGTTTAGATCATAAACTTTGTTTAATTCTTTTTATGAGGCATCAATTTTTATTTAAGGAATGCTGTTGGATGTACTGATTTTTAAATTTATTTAAAGTAGCAAAAAAATGAATTGAATATTTTTTCCGCAAAAAAATAATGAATTGAATAAATGAATAGATAAAAAGATAATATACGGAGGAGGCTTGGTTTTCGCTATTTAGAATTTTAGATGATAGGTAAAAAAAGGTTTAGAGAGAAAAAAATTTATCCTTAATTTGCATCTCCAAGTCATGTCATTTTTCTAGAATTTATCCATTTTATTTTTAAGGTAGAATTTTGTCTCTTTTAAGTTGTTAATTTAATTAATATTGAAGGGAGATAAATCCCTTGTAACTGCTATAAAAAGGTATAAAATGTTTATGTTGGGACATTCCTCTAAATTACTGGAAAATGGTTTGGGCTTGGATTGGTCCATGGATCATGGTTAGATGGGTGGCATGACTGTTGTCGTCATCTGAGCTGTGATGAGCCCAAATAAGCATCTCCTCGGTGCAGCAGTTGCTCTTGATCAAGTGAGAAAAAACTTGAATCAAACAAAAGAAAACTGGAACAGAAAAACATTTAGAACGGAAAACCTTCTAAAGACTTCTGCTAAAATGCGCATGCACAAATAAGAACAAAAAGTTCATCCAAAAAAATGGAAGAAGCCAACAATAGTATAAAGCTATCTGACTCCATCCCGACTACAACATCACATGAGTAGCAAGTGATTGCAGGAATATTTAAGGCCCGTTTATTTTACTTATTCAAGTTTTTAATTCAAATTGAGATGTAATTTTATATGAAAACTTTTTATTATAATAACAAAATTATGATTTGACTGTTTTTTAGAATTTTTTACTGTAGCAAAACTCGAATCGGTGAAATAAACGGGATCTTATAATTCTACACTTAACTCCACTACAGTCCACGAGATGCCGAGTTCGTTCAAAAAATAATTAGCGTCCACGGTTAGGTCGGTAAATATTTTGAAACCTGTACCAATTAAATCTCGCCTCAAAGAAATACAAGATTAAATTCATAAGAAAAGATTGAGGATAGATAAGTGACTATCGAATAAATGTCTGAAATGGCCCAGAATGCCAGAAGTTGTACAAGCCTAGTCTGCCACCAATAAGCTAAATAAACCAAAAAACACACCCATATACCAACTTTGGTTCGTTAGGAATAAAATGCAAGAAAAGAAAATAAGAAAGTCCTTTGAAATGAAATACGAGACTCTTGCAAATTAATTCTAAGACATTCATCATCAAACTCTGCCAAAATTTTGGAGCAGGGCAGTACTAGTAACAAGCTTCAATAGAGTTATGATGAAACTTTTAGGCTTTTCAAGGCGGTAGTAACCAGAGAGAGCTTCCCTGGAGCTCTTTGTTTGTAGTCTTTCTCCAAGGCTGCTGCTGCCAGTGATTGTAGCTCCGGGCTCTCTTTCTCTTCCTTGTTCCGTCCTTTCGCGAGCTGCCCAATGGCGGAAGTGCACTGGATGACAGGAAATTAAACTTGGATTCAGTAATTCCAGTTGGCAGGAAATGAACATGGACAAGAGGCCATATAATTGAACCAAATAAGTATGACATGAAAGTAAAAAGATGCATCAAGAAATAAAAGAGCTAAGAGAAACCCACCAAGCAAATACCAAAAAGCGCTCTAGTAGTTTTGCCTCCAGTCAAGTCAATAGTGGAAGCATAGTACTTCTTCGCTGCCTGTAGATTTTCTAGTCCACCAAGAGTGTAAAGTACCTATTGACCATCGAAACAGGAAAAGTCAACAATCGAGAGCAAGTAGGAGGGGATGTGTAATGCGTTTGGAAAAGAGAGTAAAGGAATAAGAATGTGGATGTATCCCTTCCTAGTGTTTACTCATCTATTAGGATGTGTAATTGGAAACAATCCAATTCCCCATTTAACCTCTAGTTAAGCCTAGCCTTATTTATTTAGTTTAACTACTAAATGACATTAATTGGAAAATTCCAATTCCCTTATGCATAAAAGTAAAAAGCATATAAGTAAATTTAGTGTTCATTTCCATTAACTGGTAAACAATATCCAGAGAGTTTTAGGATTGGCATTCTCTTTCCTAGTTCCCAACATTGGCCCAAACTACCATTCATGATTTGTAAATGAACGCATGACTAGATAGGAAAGGGAAACACTCCTCTCTTTCCCTTTACCATTCGTGTGAAGTAAACATGCAATTTAATGTGATGATAGTGATGTAAACTGAGACACATGAACCAATAAATAAAAAGCTACTCACGTCAGCATAAGCTAAGTGATACAATGGAACAGTGGGTTGTGATAATATCAGCTCCTCGTAGCAGAAAGCGGCTTGCTTGTACCTAACATAGACATAGCTTATCAGTTGGCATGGCAAGTGGCAACAGGGAAGAACATCAACTTCGAAGAACAGACAAATACTGACATTTGAAGGGAAACATAAATTTCAGCCAGTTCTCTCCAAGCATCATGATCTGCCATAAATCTGTAGGAGAGAAAAAAAAACTCCTGAGCTCAATCTTTTTCCTCTGCATATAATCACTAAATTCTGAAAAGACTTTAAGATCTGTCTTACATTTCAAGATATTTATTTAGGCCTTCAATGGCCCCTGAAATATCACCTTGCGCCTTTGCCATGGCTACCTTCCTCTTGTGTACCACCTACAAAGGAAAATTTTGAACTAAAAGTTAGGCAACACTCCATATAGTTCCAACATTTCTCATATGTATAATTTGAAGTATAATTTGATGTCCACTTTAGGAAATAGATTCTATCATTTCGAGATGAATAATCAACTTACTTGATCAAGAGGATTATCCTCTAAAAGGCTTGAGTACGCCTTTTCTGCTTCTGCCCAGGATCCTTTTGCTTCAAGCAGCATTGCCTCTAGCCTACCTGTAATTTATGCCAATATCACATAAGAAAAGCTTGTGTGAGGCTATCTTTTTATTATTATTTTTTCCTGTTAAAACGGAGACATATAAACAAAAGATTGGTGATATGTTAATTCGACCTACCAACCCTTTTACTCTCTGGAAATCCCTTTCGTAAAACCTTTATGCAGTCCTGCAAGTAAATTATGAAGGAAAATAGTAGTATAAGGCTCAAGAAATAGAAGTCAAACTAGCAAATTCACCGGGGTCACATTAAGTCAGCTATGGGCGAATCCACTGTTTCAGCGGGAATGAAAATAACTACTTATGCAAACGATCACACCAATATAACATAAAAAGATTTCACTATTCAAAACAATCAGTCACTTGTACAAGATCTCAAAATAGAAAACAAAAGGCAACGTATACAAAAGTTCAGATTTTTTCTACTATTCTCCCTTGTCTAGAAAGATATTACTTCATCCAAAAGGGATAACAAATTTTTCATAAAGTACCCCACCAACATGTTACATTCCATCAGATTATTCTTGAATTCAGTTTATTCTAATGCTTAACTGTTCCTGTCACATTATCAAAATAACTAAATGGGAAGCCTAAAAATTACAATTCAGGACGAAAAAGCATAAGATAAAGACTCTACCTTTGAAACATCAAGAGATTGGCAGTCCAAAGCTGCAATTGCTACCTGTTCATAGAGAGTCCATTCTGCATTAGGAGATTCAATGTTACTTGTTAGTCTAAATTAATTAAAGCTAGGAAAAAAAACATAACCAACCATATTAAAAACCCAATTCGTACGATGTTTTTATTTTTATTTTTTCGTCTTTCTCCTTTTCACTTTCTTTATAATACAACTCTCGAATAATCGATTAAGAATCTCTTTTGACCACAAACCCTGAAATTCCAAACCCTGAAATTCCAAAACATGAATTCAGACTGTTTCATTGTCTAGTACAGTTCCTACTGTGCCCCAATCGAATCAAGAATAATTCAGATACACCCAATTCTGTAGATACAGAACCACAATTCAATATTTAATTCTCATGGATGTTAAACGAGAATCAAATCAAAGCGAGAAGGAAGAACAAATCAGGGTGAAGACTGACCTTCCGAGCCGAGAGCGGATCGCTTTTTGGGATCGTTCAAGATCGACAAACCATGCTTTAGAACCTTCTCGGAACGACGAAGCTTGAGCCTCCCGACCAGACAGAGATACTCCCAAGCTCCTCCTCCGCCATTATCCACCTGGTTCTCGAGTCTTTCCAATTGGGTCTCCTCTGTCTTCGTCACCATCTTCTCCAAATTCGCAGAGACCAGAACCAATGAAAGTAAATCTCTCTCTCTCTCTCTCTCTCTCAGTGGCCGGTTTTCGGATCTATCGACGGGGACTTTTGTGTGTCTTGCCTAGTCTTTGTTTGAAGGAAAGAAAGCTGTGATTTGGAATAGACAAACGCGGCCTTCCATTAGTAGCGTTTGACGGCCCAATTGTGTTAATAGGACCATTCTGACCGTTGGATTGCTCCAACTTTGATTGGATCTTTATACCCCAGTTCCTTAGGGGCCAACCACCACAATTCTATTGGAAGTTTGGAACCTCTTTTTAACAAAAAAAATTTTGCCTGCAAAAAAAAAAAAAAAAAAAAAAAAAAAAAAAAAAACTTCCTCTAAAAAAATATATTTTTTAAGGTAAGAAAAAAAAAAGAACTTGGCACGATGGAGATGATGAAATAGTGAAGAGAAAAACATGTAAGCAATGATTTAAAAGAAATTCTATTTAGGCGTAATTGTAAATTTTGATTTTTGTGTAAAAAGAACCTTTCTTTCGGTGTAACTACACAAAAATTCTGAGATACTTTTAGAAGCTGAAGTAAACTATATGAGAATATTCAAAATAATAAAAATGTTAAATGTTTGTATTCATATCTATTATGAATGAGCAAACATACGAGTTTACTTTTTATTATAGCAATGAGTGTCTTTTTATGCTTACATTCTTAACTCTTAATAAATCAAATGACGCAAAAAAATCCTCAAAGGGAAAACGGCAATAATAATGGAAAAACGACATCAATACTAATGAAACGACGATCAAAAGAGTATTATCCTTCAAATTATAAAGGAGAAAGCCGTTTCGTTCATTTTTGTTTTTGTTTTTTGAAAGGCAGTTTATTGCGATTTTGTAATGTTTTATACATTGATGACGTCACGTCAGCAATTGCAGTGCGTCGATTTCAGTTTTTTCTTCTTCTTTTTTTCACGACTTAAATGAGAATGTTAATTGTTTGCCTTTTTAATTTGTTGCCTCTTCCAACCAAAAAAAAAAAAAAAAAAAAATCATATGTCTATGTGTATACTTATACTTTTACATAAAATTATGTTGCGAAAATGTGCGAAACGTTTCGAGAGGTTTTTTCTCCCTTCATTGAGTGAATTTTTTTTAAGGCTTTTTTTCCTTATATTTTACTTTAGATATTTTACCCGCTTTTGTTTTTGTTTCTTCTATTTTTTTTATTTATTTTTTAACAATTTATATAACTATTGTTTTAAAGGATTCAGTGCATTTTTAACTAGCAAAAGACTACAAGGCGACAAAGGACTAAAAATTTGCGACAAACCCTTCCAAAACGACGACAAACGATAAACAATAGGAAAACAACAATCGCTAAACTAAACACTAACACAATAGACGGAAATAAAAAGAAAAATAAAAATAGTAAGCGACACCAGAGAGGACAAATGCAGACACAGTTACCTTAGGAAAAGACACAAACTGTAAAAAAATACCCAAAAAAAACGACAGGAGGGAAAACGACAACTTGGAAAATTACGACAAAAATGCAACGACTTTTAAATCATAATTCATAAACAACAGTAACAGAGGCAACGACAATAATATTCACAAAAGGCACTAAAATAAAAACGACAACAATTGGGTAAATTACATAAAATAAACGATAATAAAACTATAAAACGACATACCAAAAGAGAAACGGAAAATATTGAAGACGCCAACAAGGCAACAAATAAAAAAGATGATACGGTTCGAGTACAACGAACTGGGTATGGACAAACTAAGGCAATAAACGACAACAATAGAGAAACATCAATGTAGTTATAAAAGCGACATTCACTTCAATAATTAGCAATAAGGAAATAGCTGTCACAGAAGAGGAGGGCAGGGCGTGGAAATTGTACTTACTTTGATGGCGCGACTGGCTAATCAAAATGGGTACGGAGTAGGACCTGAGTCATGGTTACTTTGTTATCAGATTTAACCAGGAGGAAGATATGATGGATGAACGCCTAAATCGGAGTATCAAGGAAAATAAACCTCAATATCTGGTTCTTAAAAAAAAGGTGGACACCGTCGGCCGGAAACAGCAGTATTGCATAAGGTTCCGGTTTAGATCATCTTTCCTGGACTTCAAAACGACGATAAAATCAAAACAACAACAAAGTGATACGGGGATAATAAAAGACAAAGGAAAACTACGTGGGTACGGACAGAAGACGAAATGGAGAAAACAACAGCCAAAAATGAAAACGAGAATTGTATATATAAAAGACAACAAATAAAAAGAACGAGAAAGTGGAAAAACGACAATGAAAGAAGAAAAATATTTTTCAAAATTAAGGGTGTGTTTATTTTAGGACTTAAGTTAAGAACTTGAGTTGGTTGAATTTAAATTTTTGTGAGAGATCACACTGTAGCAATAAAATTTGAGTTGTAATTAATGAATAAGGTTTAAAACTCCAGAAATTATTCATTACCCTGAAAAATCTAAATAATATATATATGAAATTCTATACGTAGAGTAAAACTAAAATCGTGAAAAATACAAGTATATTTTGTTTAATGCATATTAAGGTTCGTTTAGTTCGCTAATTTAAGTTTTTAATTTGAGTTGAAATGTGATTTTATGTGAAAACTTTTTACTGTAACAAAAAAATTAGATGTTATTATTTTTTACTATAATAAAACTCGAATTAGTAAAATGAATGGGACCTTAAAAATAACGGAAAAAATTAAACAAACACACACAAGAAGAAGTCAATCTACTTAGCATATTGAAAATAAGTTAATTTATTTTTGTTTCCCATCTCCCAGCAAATTGAAGAAAGAAAATATTTAGAATATCACAACAAATATTTATAGCCTTGCTTTTTTCTGGAAAAAAAAAAAAGAAAGTTATAGAAGGCGCGGCAAAAAATTGAAGGGCCAAATAAAAAGGGAAGAAAAAACGTTCTTTTGTTCAAAAGTCACGGTGCAATGAGATTGGTAATTCACAACGAAACGGTGCGTTTTGCTGACACGGCAAAACCGCAAATCCAATTGCGGAACAACAACTCCTTGTCGTCGTCGTCCTCGTACATTTCCGTTCTAAAACCCTACTCGCTCTGCAACTACACCACCATCGCGGCGTCACACAAAGCCCTAACAACGGCCATGAAAACTCTCGACGAATCCGACGTCGGCATCTTCTGCTACATCTCTAACCTCCCTGGCTTTCGCGGCATTCTCAAGCAAAGGTCTTTTATATACACACTACTTATACATTGACACACGCTTGTTTGTGAGAAAATGATGAAAATTTAACGAATGGGATAATTTAGAAATGACATACGAGCAGTTCTAAGGAAGAATCAGAAAAGAAAACTGTAATTTGTCAGCTTAATACTAATGCTTGGCGTAGTTGTGCTTGCAACTTCGTCAAATTGTTTGGAAATTTTATTGATTATTTTTCTCAATTGTTTTATCTTTGATATTTCGTTTAGGTACTCTGATTTTATCGTAAATGAAGTAGATACTGATGGGAATGTTGTCCATTTGACCTCTTTGGATGCGCCACCAGAGGTAAGGTTTTTTTTTTTTTTTTTAAAATCATTTTGTATACAAATATATGTTTTTATGATTGCTAAATTTTCTGATTCATTCAGACCCGTGAGGAAACTAGAACTGAGACAATTGATGCCGGAACCAAGAGTTATACTTCTGAAATTGAGTCTTTTAGATGTCTTGCTGGTGACTCTGATGCTGAGAGTTTGGAAGCTTTGATTAATCAAATTAATTCTGGTGGTGGTGAAGAAGTTTCACCTATTGTTCTCTCACCAAGTTCTGATAAATCTCATAGAACGGTTAGTGTTAATTTTTCATTTCAGTAAATTTGTTTCTTTATGTACTTTTGTGTATTAGGTGTGGGGATTTTGGATGAGGGATTAGTTGCATATTATTGTAAGAATTGGGAGATTTTGAGGGTAAAATTCAATCAATTTGATAATTTGATTGGCTTTGTGTCCTGCCAATTTTTAAGTTTGATTTTGGGTTTCCAATTGATTGCTAAACGTTGGGTTTTTTTTTTTTTTTTTTTTCAAGCTAGACTAAATGATTTTGTTTCAGGTATTTCACTGGTCTAGTGCTAACAAATAATTCGCCATTTATTCTACTTTTCTCAGGAAATACATAATTTTTTCAAGAAGAACTTCAAGTTCCTAGTCACTGATACTGTTGACGGACCAGATGCTTCTTCAAAATGCATCCGTGTGAGATTAAATTCCGGGAGGCACAATAACCATGGCAGGAACTCCAAGAAACGGAAAGAAAGAGGTGATAAACCTTTTGATCGCAGAGGTTCAGATGACTGGCCAGAGCATGTTGGCAAATTTCTTAGGTAAAAGGGTATTTCACTTTTCCTGAATTTTCTTAGCACAGGCAAAGCTTCTTGTCATCCTCAGAGGTATCTGCACACACTTGATTGAATGGTTCTTCTCATTGTTGATATTTAGGTTTCATCTTTACAAGGAAAACAAGGATTCACAGGAGGCATTGGGACTGATCGGGAAGATGCTTGGCATCCAGGTACTTATTCCTGAGTTTTGCTTCTTCTTTTTTTTTTTTTTTTTTTTTTTTTTTTTTTTTTTTTTTTTTTAACTAGTTAGAAGCACGCGCTTCGCACATGTACTTCGTGCATTTTTTGAATACCAAAATTTAAAATTTCGTCTAAGATTTAGTTGTACTTATTTATTATTCTCCTAGTTGAGTTTAGTAAAACAAAACAGTTTGTTAGAGCACATTTAAAAGGGAAAAACTAATATAGAAAATTAGAGTAAATTATTTATGGGGTATGTATAAAATTAGATGGTAAATTATATGTATAATGATTAATATAATTTATTTCAAACTTTACTTTTTTCTTTTACTTTTTTTTACTAAAAGCACCTTTATGTTCTAATTATATTTCGACTGCTTCTATGAATTATTAAGAAAAACATGCATTAAATAAGCCGCAGAATTGTTTTTCACCAAAAAGAACAGAAGGAAAAAAATAAAACTAAATAGTAAAAGAAAGAGGGACTTTCTCTAATAGGATCTAGGACTAGTTTTTGACCGTTACATATTGTCAAAATCACATTAGCTTAAACAAATATATAGAACAAACAGTTACTGATACAGATATGACGGCTAAAAGCAGGAAACTATCGGTAGTTCATTTTCTCTGTACCTACCAGAGAAACTCCCAAAGAAAAATAACAAAAAAAAGACTTGGAAAAAGTAAAAGAAAAAAAAAAGGATTGAGAGTTGACAAGTGGCAAGTGGCAAGTGAAGATGAGTGATGGAAAAACATTTTGGCTCTTTTATGTATGTTGTAGATTATTATTTTCATTTTCTTGTTTAATGCATTCTTATAATAAAATTTCAATCGTAAGAAGCACAAAGGGACATGTCCGTGCATACCAATCATCATATTATGGTTCCTAAACAGAAGAAGTAAAAACAGGGTGCTAGCTGAAAACGTTTCCTTTTCTGCTTTAGTGACAGTAATCTTCATCCATGGCAGAGAGAATTATTTAAATTACGTTATGATTGAAACAATTGAGATAGAACACATCTATATCACTTCTCAATCTTGGTGATGTCTTGCTGATTATCTGATAATTGTGTCTGACAGCCTAGGTCATTCGGATTTGCAGGAACAAAGGATAAGCGTTCTGTCTCAACTCAAAGGGTATTTGTTAACTTTCAGTTTCTTTCTTCCTGATGATTGTACTCTGAGTTTTAATTTTTGATGGTGTTTTAGTTATGGTAATGTTATAGAGAGGTAAGAATTTATAATTTTATTGAATGAAAACATACTCTTGATATTTATGCCAAGTGTGTAATGATCTAACAACTGTGGCTTATGGAAGCATTAGTGGTTAATTGAAGAAATATTCGACTTGTTGAAATGATAATTTGCTTGACAACTGATGCTTGAAATGGATGTTTCCTATATAATTCAGGTAACTGTGTTTAAGCAGCGTGCCAGTAGGTTAGCAGCCCTCAATGATAGGTTGATTGGTATTCAAGTGGGTGATTTCTGGTAAGAGAAATGATTTCTAGTCATTGTTTCATTTCGACTTACTTTTGGATACCTGCTTGTCTGATTGCTGGATATTTGGTCAGCTATGTGAAGGAAGAACTTGTTCTCGGTCAACTATCGGGAAACAGATTTACCGTCACATTGCGGTGAGGGTTTTCCCCTTGTGAAATAGTTTGTTTATATTACATACGTCTTACAATCCATTACAATTTCTTCAGTGTGTTCTTATTGTTGCACTCTCATATTTTCCAGAGGAGTTGTTGCAGATTCTGAAGAGACCATTAAAGCATCTGCAAGTGCCCTAGGAAGACGGGGTTTTATTAATTATTTTGGTCTTCAAGTACTAACATAACTTACAGATGCTTGTGAAAATCTTTCCAGTATGTAATTCAGTCTTCCCATACCTTATTGATGTGTATTTTGAATCTTGAATGAGTTCAGCGCTTTGGAAGTGGATCTGTGCCGACTTATCTTATTGGAGCTATGCTATTTAGAGGAGAGTGGAAAGATGCTGTACATATGATTCTTGATCCAAGAGAAGGGGATATCCTTTTGTTCTCTCTCTCTCTCTCTCTCTCTCTCTCTCTCTCTCTCTCTCTCCCTCTCTCTCTCTCTCTCTCTCTCTCTCTTTTCTTTAACTTGTTCTTTAATTACAAAGAGATGTAATTACAAAGGCACGTGAATATTATAAGGAAACTAATGACATCGACGGGACCCTGAGGCAGTTACCTCGACATCTGGTTGCTGAGAATGCTATTGTAAGTTTCTAGTAATATCTTCTCCTGTACAAACTTTTTGCTATAAACCTCTCAGATCTTGATAATACTTGGTGCTCCCATAACGTAGCCTGTAGTGAGAATGAAAAAGAAATTGCTGTTTCTGCTGGATAATTCTTTCCCTGCTATATATACTACGGGATTTGCACCTGTTGTTCACTTTTACTTCTAATCCGATTTGTATGCTTTATGGTAAGTTTTACGATGTTCTTTCCCGCCTTCTCATACAGCTGCAGTGTTTGAAAAAATGTCCTGGGAACTACCTGCAGGCTCTGAAAGCAATACCTAGAACTTTGAGAATGATGTAAGGTTTTGCTTCTTGCAAAAAGTGCTTAAAAAAAATGCATTCACTTGACCTTAAGAGAATTATTTTTAAGGTGTTAGTAAATAGTATTCCCGTGCATTCAGGTATGTACATAGTTACCAAAGCTACCTATGGAACCATGCAGCTAGTACGAGGGTACAGAAATACGGTAGTCTTTTAATTGCTCTCTCTCTCTTTCTCTCTCTGCTGATATTATCTGGATCTCTCTATGTACATGTTGTAGATGGGATTCCATCTTCTTGTCATTATAATCCAGTATATACTTGCAACCTACAGTATGTGAGTATATGTATATTTATATATAATTTCGTCATTTGCAGGAACTGACCAAGTTGTGGTAGGAGACCTGGTATTCTGTAAAGAACATAATATTGAGAAGGTGAAAGGAACTGCCAGTGCTGATTGCAAAGATGAAGATTCGAATGCAATATTTGGTTCTCATGATATAGATGAAGTCTCAGGCGCAGAACTTCCCGAAGAAAGGAACAACCCTGTGAAGGTTTGTCATTTTGTTTTAGCCTTTTGTTTGTTCAGTCTTCTCGTATTGCTAATAAAACCGTCTAGTTGGGCAGGCTCTACTTTACCAACATCTCCTTTGCTTCATAATTTTGTTGGATTACCCCAGATTATTATTAATTGTTGTTCTGGAGGTTATTGAAGTTGTACCATCTTGAATATGTGCATTAGTTTATTGTCTAAAGTGATTTGCATTGTGCGATGTTCAAGAACTCTCATATGCTTCTTACCTGTTTGCAGGTTGTTGCTGCAGAAGATATTCTTGCTGGAAATTTTGCGATTGATGATGTCGTCCTTCCTTTGCCGGGGTAAAAGAAACATGAGCCTTGTACCATCTGGTTTATTCTCTTATTTCAGTTTCGTTCTTTTCCGACACTTTGTTGATGTATTTTGCTAGTTCAAGAGTAATTCTTCCAACAAATGACATAGCCCAAGTTTATCATGATCTGGCAAAGAAGGTGCGATATTTTGGGCCATTCCCTCCTTTTTTTTTTTTTATTAGTTTGTAGTTTCACACATCCTAGCACAGAGTTCCTGGGTAACAATCTAGGGTAGCGGAATCAAAATTTAAAGATAGCTAATAGTTGTTGTTTACGTATTGCTTCAGGACGCAATCAGCTTGACAGAGAGTGCACACAATGTTAAGTATGTTCAAATACTTCTAATCCTCAATCAACTGCCCTCTTCGCGTTCCTCATCTGGCCCTGCTATATCAGTATCGTCTTTATTTTTCCCCACCTCTAATTAAAGTCCACCTGTCTATTAATTTTTCAGAGAATTCTCAATTACTAGTATGACCGGAAGTTATAGACGCGTTTTTCAAAAACCAGTTGATTATGAGTGGTATGCTTTTGTTTCTTAAATTCTCTCTCTCTTTCTCGTTGGGTTTCTTAAAATCAGTTGTTTCCCGGTGCACTAATACACTATTTGTTTGCTCTTCTGTTGTTGCAGGGAACTACTGACGTATACCAATGGCACAATACCTTTGGCAGAGACAGATTTAGACATTATTGCTAAATCTAAACCCGCACATGTCGCTGAAGAGAATGAAGTGAATGGAAACGAAGAGAGCACAAAAAGATCAAAGCGCGTCGAGAATGAGGCGGTGCTTCAAACAGATGATAACAAGGTGGATGGCGAGAGAGAAGCTGAGCTACAAGCTGAATCCACTTGTGGCACTAATTCTCAGGAACCCCAGATGGCGCTCAAGTTGAGCTTCACTCTCCCTGCTTCATGCTATGCAACAATGGCCATCAGAGAGCTACTGAAGACATCAACTTCTGTACGTACTTTAGAAGTTAATGTGTTTCATAGTATTACTCGAATAGAGAAATCCAAGCGCGGAATTCGATTACTCGTTATTAATTTAAAATAAATTGCAATACACCACGCATACATGTATCAAGAATGAGATTTGTTCAACTGTGCTTCATTTTGTGTAGCAGATATATGTACATTATACACATCAATCTTTCAAATCTTTGTGCAGGTCGCTTTTCACAAAACGTTAAACTAGGGAACGGCATTGTTCCTCCTGGAGTTTTGAAGATTTCCATTTCCATTTCCAGGATAGACCAGGCCAAGGTTAGATGTATCAAGAATGAGAGACACAAGAAGTATACGGGATAGAATTGTATTCTGTTGTTCTATTTTTATATTTAAGGAAAAAAAGTACCTTTAATACATTAGTTTTTTTTTTTTGAACTGAACATCAGTTTCTATTCAATATAATGCGCAATGTTCAATAAACTCAAAATTTATGATGATCCAGATTGAAAATTCAGGGATGGATTTGCAAGTTCTCATACATAGATTTTCAACAAATCGTACGTTTTACATGAATTTTGGTGGTAAAGTTAGTATGCACGAATAGAAAATATTGATCATCAATATAAATTTATCTGAAGAAAGTACAATAATAATTTGAATTTCATCAGCACCAAAGAACTTCCAAGTCGACAGATTTGAGCGAGCACAAATGACCAAACTACTGACTTTGGGCCTAACTTATATGTAATACCAAATAAAATAAAAAATAAAAAGCACATTCTCTCCCTCACCGCAAAAATTTCCCACCAACCAAACACTTTCCGATCATGTCCGAGCAAAACCCTAACTATATCGGGACGTATCTCTTGGCCACCTGCTTCCCCGCCACCGCCGCCGCCGCGGCGATCCCTCCGATAGCGCCGGCGATCGCCGCCGACCTCGGACCCGCAGCGGCCTTGTAAAGCGCGCCGGTTCCCAATCCGGCGACGACAGTGTTCAACAAGTCGTCGCGGCCTCTAAAGTGAATAACTCCGTTCTCCAAACCAGCGAAGATCAAACCGAGGACGCCGAAGGTGTTTCCGAACCTCCTTCCGACATGGCCGCCCGAGTTGAGAACGCGGTTGACTCGGAGCTTGAGCGTGTCGCCAGGCTCTGCGGACTTGAGGCCTTCGATGGAGCCCTTGGCGCCGCCCATTATGGCGCCGGAGAGATAGCCGCAGCCGGTATAGTACTGGAGGTTTTCGCCCCAGGATCGGCTGGGCTTTGAAGCCTCCTCGATGAAGAGGTGTTCGTGGGCGGTTGGGAGATTGTAAAGGTTTTGGATCGGGACTTGGAGATCCTGGTAGGGATTGTAAAGCCTGGTGCTTTGCTCGTCGTTGTTGGATTTGGTGAAATCCGCCATCGAAGCCAGAGCGAGTTCTAGAGAGAGAGAGAGAGGGGGGGCTTTAGAGAGAGAAATTTCTTGGTCAACAACGAAAACCCTAGAAATGGCCAAAGGGCAAGGAAGAGGGTTTTAGCTGACTTGGAATTTGGAATTCAAGAACTTTTTCGCGAAAAAATAACTTTTTTTTCCCCATTAGACGCAAAAATATTATTTTGTACCTTTTCCTTTGTTCTTTCGTAAGAAAATATATATATATAATATATATTTTCCTCATTGTGTGGCGTAAATGTAAAGGAAGTATTAGTCCAAAATAAAAAAATAGTAAAAGAATAAATTTATTCAAAAAAAAAAGTGATGATTCAAAAAAAAAAGTGATGGTCGAAGGGTTCCAGAAATCAATTCGTCTTACATGTTCGTTCTTTCTTTGTATCTTTTTATGTACCTTACTAATTTTAGGACACATCAATATTTTGTCATAATATTTTGGGTCAATCTTATTATTCTCTCTTTAATTTAAAACTACTCTGTTTGGCCATGAACTTTAAAACTCTCATTTTACTTTATAAATTTTAAACTAATCTTATTTAACTCATTTTAAAGAATTAAAAGAAAAATAGATGAAAAAATAAGAGCGGTGCGATAATAGGTCTTTTTGCTAGAATTTTTATTGAAAAATAAACAAATGAAAAAGACCACATGCTACAAACCTTTAGGTGCGTTTGGAATTCGTTTCAAAATAATTTTATTTTCTGTATGAAAATGAAAACGAGAACGTTTTCATTTTCATTTTGGAATCATTTTTGAAAATACGTTTGGTAGTTTTATTCTGAGATTGTTTTCAATTTTAAAAAAATTGAAATTGTTTGGTGGTTTAATTTTTAAAAACATGTAATAATATTTAAAATAATAATATATTAAATATGTCGCAGATGGGGGCAGGGGGTGCAGTCACAGAAGAGTGGAAAATGAAAACAAGAAAAATGAAAACGGAAAAAAAATCGTTTTGAAAAACGTGAAAAAAAAGGAGAAAATGAAAATGGTGTTTTCAGTTTTGATTTTGAGAAAATGGGTCACTAAAGACCAAACACAATCTGTGAAGCGTTTTCATTTTTGCTCTTCGAAAAACGTGAAACGTTTTCAAAAACGAAAACAAACACGCCCTCTGTTGTTCCGTCAACACATCAACAACAAGGGAACGAGTCCTCTTGGAATGAAGAAAACCCAGTACGAGAATTGTCCAAGCCCAAACTCATCACGGTGCAATTATGGGCTGAGGTAACAACTTTATGACTACTTGGGTTTTGGATTTGAGACCCCAGGGCCCAGTGGAACTCTAAATTCAGTTCAAGCAACTGGTTTTCTTTAGATACAAACTGTTAACTGTCCCCTTTTTTCTTTCAAAGTTGTAGGTAGTTGAACTCTTTCAAGATATTCATTACCTTTTTTTTTTTTTGGATAGTTAGATATTCATTACTGTTAAACTGTGCTTATAACCACAAATACAAACAACTAGACTACTAGTCTTTGAAAACGTCAATTAATTTATCACTTTTTAATTGTGAATCAATCAAAATAATAGAAAGTAGCCATATGGTTTTAATATTATAAATTTGGATTACATACTGACCTAAATCCTAGTGCCTCTAAGACTAACCCTTAGGCCTCAAGCCGATTTTAGGAGGGAAAAAAATATTAGAAATACCACTTAAGATAGTAAAAAAAAAAAAACCACTCAACTTAAAAATAAACAATTTCATTCAATTGTTAAGGAAAAAATAAAAAGTCACCGTCACAATGGCACGTAATTATTTAAAATAACATAAATAATAAGCTTACACAAAATCATAATAAATCATGTACTTTTGTCATTTTTTGGTGAAGCTACTTGGGCCACATGGTCATTGAATAGCAACTTGAATTCGACCACGATGAATCAAAATAATCACTTTTATTGACATATCAATGCCGACTAAAATGCGGGCGAAGTCAATTGCTAACGGAATGTGAATAGCTTTTGGCAAAATGAAAAAAATAAATAAATGCACCTCTAAGTTGCAGCTTACGTTTTGCATACATATCTTGTCAATATGGTTGGAGTTCCGGAGGGGATAACGAGCAGGGGAGAATGAGCTTTTTACAATGTTCCCTTGTATTCATTACAAGTTGTGATACGTCTTTTTCAACAACTCATAGCAAATTGATGAATGATATGCTATTGTGCTGGAGCATTAAACTTCACGCCCCTCCTTATAGACGTGACTTGACCTTTTATTTTCTTTTTGTTTTTTTCCCCTCGAGCTTAGTAGGATAGGAGGTTTAATCCAAGAGAACACGAAGTTACGTTTTGTTCACGGATTCATAATTATGTTTCAAAATTATTTTTAATTTATGTATATTTTTATGAAAAAATACTGTAGCAAGTCATAAATCATGACACGAATCCTCACACCAAACACCCTAATCTCACCATACAACTGGAAATTTTCAAGAATTTCATAGAAAAATAACACTTTTATTGTTACCATCAATTTTAAAATTTTCATTTCTGCCATTAATATACTGGTATGATATATTTCATATTCTATCAGAATATTTTTTTTTCTCGTAGGGTATTTTTTCGTATTCTATCATAATACATTTAGTACTCTACCATAATATTTTTTAATGACATAAATAATAGAATGATGAAAATTAAGAGAAAAGTACATAGTTTTCCATTGTTTTGTATATACATATTATTTATGTCATTCTAAATAATCAAGTATTATTGTGATTTTTTGTTTTATATTTATTAATTGAATGACAATTATTTATTATTAAGTGCGGTGACATAAATAATTTTGTTTACTATTTTGAGTAGTATTTTTTATTTTTTCCTAAAAAATAATGGCCATTCTTGTAATTTTCTCAAATACAAAAGTGGGTCAGCCTGGCTCCAAAAAAAAAAAAAAAAAAAAAAAAAAAAAAAAAGTAAAAGCGCCCCCCTTGTTCATTACAAGGGGGAATTATGAAATATGGACTGTCCTGTAAAATTTATTTATTAGCAAAATTGACTTTTTAAAAGAAAGGTGTAATAGAAATTAAATACCAACTTAAGATGATTTAAGCATATAAATAAAAGCAACAAAGAACAAATGTCTAATCACAATATTTAAATGGGTTAGATGGAAATTGAAAGCAATGATATGAATAAAAAGTGAGTACTTTGTGATATTTCTACTCTGGGGATATGGAAATACATACCCAAAACATGCAAAATAGGCATCAATAATTCAACATTTAAGTGAATGGTGGGTTAAGTGTCCCCATTGAGGGTGTATTATAACTTGCTGTGTGCCGCCGTGCCATGTGAGAGCGGCCCTTCCTTAAATTAATTGGTCCCAGTCTCTGCATGTTTTCACGTGTCCTGCCATCCCCTTGCCGTTAATTACACCATCATGAGCATCAGCTACTGCATAGGATTCTTAAGGACCCCAAATGCTACAAAAATACCCAAAAAGAAAATTGAAAAAAAATATTATCAGTTTCCAGCCTACGGTGGGTCCCCAATCTCACTCTCACACTCCCGAGAGTGCTCGCCACGCGCCCCTCAATCATAAACATAGCTAGCTATGACATTTACATATGATTTTGTCCTTTTTGGGAAAAGATCAAACTCCTTTCTTAGTAAAGTTGAAGCCAGTTAAATTGAAGCATGTATTCAAGTGAGATAGAATAAACAAGATTAGAGTCGTTCTTTTACATTTGTGAATTAAAGTGTTTTGAGTGATGATTTTAAGTTGAATTAAAATTAATAATCCGTTTAGTTCGCTGATTCGAGTTTTTAATTCGAGTTGAGATGTGATTTTATGTGAGAACTTTTTACTGTAGCAAAAAAGTTAGATGTGATTGTTTGTGAGAGCTTTTTACTGTAGCAAAACTCGAATCAACGAAATGAACAGGGGGTGAGTTTGTGTTTGAATGTGCACATTTAAGTTATAATTTGAATTGAGAATCTTTTTAAGTTTGTATTTAGATAGGTCAAAACTTAAATTTATATTTAGATAGTATTTTAATAAAAACTCAATGGTGATGAAAAATTTTAATATGGTATATGAGTGGAGTTTTATTCGTCTTTTCGTTGTGAATATATAGAAAAAAATCATTTTAATCAGAATTAAAACGAAAAAGTTATGGTATTTTTAAGAATAAAAAAATATTGTTCATTAACTTGAGTTCGAGTTTATGAACTCGAGTTGAAGGAGAAACTTGAACTCCAAACTCGAGTTCAAACTCAAATTTTACAAAAAAACATAAATTTGAATAAAGTTGTAACTCGAGTTTAAATTTTTTATGAATTTCGTTACATAAGAACAACCTCTAAAGTTTTTTTTTATTTTTATTTTTTAAAAGTTGGCAAATTACATGTGGTTAATTATTCATGATAATGTTCCATATTATTTCATTGAAACATCATTTTTCTTGTACTAACAAGCTTAGCTAGTAAAGACTTTGACATGTATATAAAGTCATAGCAGTCTAGTTTTGGTTTATTTCATTGAAACATCATTTTTCTAGTACTAACAAGCTTAGCTAGCAAAAAATTTGACATGTATATAAAGTCATAGCAGTATAGTTTTGGTTTATTTCATTGAAACATCATTTTTCTAGTACTAACAAGCTTAGCTAGCAAAGACTTTGATATGTATATAAAGTTATAGCAGTATAGTTTTGGTTTCTTTCGGTCTCGTTCAGTTCGTTGATTTGAGTTGAAATGTGATGTTTTCTGAGAATTTTTAACTGTAGCAGAAAAAGTTAGATGTAACATTTTCTGAGAGTTTTTAACTGTAGAAATCTAAAACTAAAAGGTGCGTTTAGAACTCGTTTCAAAATGATTTTATTTTTTGTATGAAAATGGAAATAAAAACATTTTCAATCTCAGACAGAAATCATTTTTAAAAATGCGTTTGGTAGTTTTATCAAGAGATTATTTTCAATAAAAAAAACTCATTAATGTCTCTCTCTGCTCGAGAGGGGAGAAAACGAAAACAAAAAATGAAAAATGACTTCATTTTTCACTAAACCAAAAAATCATTTTTATTTCTCTTTTTTGTCTTTAATTGTGCCAAACGTCATTTTAGAATCGTTTTTATTTTTTCGTTCTTAAAAAACATTAAAAACAAAAATAAGAACAATTCTAAACACGACAAAAAACTTAAATCGGTGAAATGAGTAAAGCCTTTAACTGTAACAGAAAAAATTAAATGTGACTTTTTATAATAATTTTTTTAATTATAACAAAAATGAAATTAAAAATTTTAATTAGTAAAATGAACGAGATTTTTCTTGCTTTTTTGGCAGGGAATATAATTTTGATTTCAGTTCCATTTAAAATAGAAACAAGTAAATAAATAATACAAGTAAATAAATCAGGGATCAACAGTACTTTGCACTGAATATGTGAATAAGTTCCTCTCAGTTGGAGGGTGACTTCACTTTCTTCTTAAAGAGTGTGGTACTGGGGCTGCCTTTCATCTCCCACGATAGGACAAACTCGTTGATAAATGAGAGAGAGAGAAAGGAAGAGAGAGAAAGAGAGAATGGTATTTTTGTAGTGTTCTCTTTCCAACATTTTGCCAATTTACAGTGAGCCAAATGGGAGAGAGAGAGAGAGAGAGAGAGAGAGAGAGAAGAGGTAAAGAAGAAAGAAAAACAGTCTACACTACACAAATTCACAAACATGTTCGATGGAGTACCACCTCATGACCAGTTGCACCAATTCATAGCTTCATCAAGAGCTGCAGCAGCTGCTTCCCCACTCCCACTTCCTCTCTCCTCTTCCCCTCTCCACTCTCAAACTGCCTTCTCTACTAACTCCTTTGACGTCTCGGCTTATAATATAATTCCTCATCACCATCAACTTCTACTTCCTCACCAACAACATCAGCAACCGCAGTTTGTGCACCCAATATTATTGCACCAGTCTTCTAACAATAATTCCCACAAGAGCAGCATCAATAATGAAGAGAAAGAAGCAAGCAACTTGGTGGAGATCGAAAGAGAGAGATCAGTTCCTGAGCCGAATAATACTATTGATGATCCAGCTTGGAGTAACGACGAGGTCCTTGCGCTGTTGAGGATCAGATCTACCATGGAGAATTGGTTCCCGGACTTCACTTGGGAACATGTTTCCAGGTACGTACATATCTATATCTATAATTCATCGTTTCTTATATATAATATGTCGTCTAATTTGCACTTGGCGATTTAATTAAACGGCGTAATTAGCTTGGTGGGCTTTTTATATATAAAATTTTCATCAATTTTCTTTTCTCCAAGAAAGAGAAAGACGGTGGAAAAACCAGCATCCTGTTCATGATACTTATATTGTTGAGGAAAAAGATAAAAGGTACATATATATGCATATACATATATATATTTATATTTATATTTCATTGTGTGTATTTGTATAACTATACACACACACACACACACTATAGGGTGGAGTAGTAATTAAAAAACAGAGGGAATAAATATATAGTGGACAAAGCTGCATATGTATGTTGTCGGTTTTTAGACATTGATGGTGGGTGCAGGAAGCTATCAGAGATTGGTTTCAAAAGGAGCGGTGAGAAGTGCAAGGAGAAATTTGAAGAGGAAAGCAGGTACTTCAACAACATTAATAATTGCACCAAGAGCTGCAGGTTTCTCTGCACTGACCACCTAGAGGTGGAGGAGGAGGAGGAGGTGGAGGAGGGGCTTAATTATCACACCCAAAACCCAGCTCATCAGACCAATATCATTGGGACCCAAAAGAGACAAATTATATCAGTAGTACTACCGGAGAATCAGGATAAAGTTAGGGGTGCTACTGGTACTGGTAATGGTACTGCTCAGATCAGTTTGGAAGATCAATTAGGCTCTCCAAGAAATCATGATCATGATCATCATCAAACGTTTAATGGTTCTGCGAAAGAGTCTGATCATGATTTAGAAAATGATCATCATGATAGTAGCAGTACTAGATCGAAAAGTAAGAAGAGAAAGAGACAGAAGATAAAGTTTGAGATGTTCAAGGGCTTCTGCGAGGACATTGTGAGCAAGATGATGTCTCAACAGGAGGAGATGCACAACAAGCTTGTCGAAGATATGGTGAAGAGAGACAAAGAGAAGGTTGAGAAAGAAGAGGCTTGGAAGAAGCAAGAGATGGATAGGATGAACAAGGAGCTTGACATTATGGCTCACGAACAAGCCATTGCCGGTGACAGACAAGCCACAATCATTGACTTCTTAAACAAGTTCATTTCATCGTCGTCATCCGGCACTATTACTACTACCACTACCACAATTTCTTCCGAATCTGATCATCATATAAACCATTTTTCAGGACCCAAAAAAGGGAAAGATTCTCTCGACAAGGCTGTACTCGTGAAGAATACTCCAAAAAATCATACAGACTTTTCTCTCACTCCTTTGATTCAAGCCGCGCATGGAAGCCTTAATGATCTTGAAGAGCAAAACAACAGTAATATTGTCGTCGAAGAACAGCCGTCGTCGTCTGCCATGATTGTACGACCTCAAAACTCGAGCTTATCTACTCAGAAAAACGTAATATCCGAACAGCCCCAACAAAACCCTACTTCTTCACCAACCAAAAACCCTAGCAGTACCACTTCAACGCAGAAAGTGGCCATAAACGACATTAAAGACGACGTTGGAAAGAGATGGCCGAGAGACGAAGTTTTGGCGCTGATAAACCTAAGGTGCAGTCTCTACAACAGTGGAGATCATATTCAAGAAAAGGAAGGAAGTAATTCAGTAGTGAAAGCTCCACTGTGGGAGAGAATCTCTCAAGGAATGTCTGAATTGGGTTACAAAAGGAGTGCAAAGAGGTGTAAAGAGAAGTGGGAGAACATAAACAAGTACTTCAGAAAAACAAAGGATGTTAACAAGAAGAGGTCGGTTGAGTCTAGGACTTGCCCGTATTTTCACCAACTAAGTACTTTGTATAATAAAGGAACACTTGTTGCACCTAATTCTCAAGGCCCGGATCAGGAAATGAATCATCATTCTTCTCAACTTGAGTCTTTAGCTGATCATGATCATGATGATCATGATGATGATGATCATCATCATCATTCCTCTGACGTCCATGTTGCTGAAGGTGAGAGATCACCGCACAATCATGTTGTTGTTGTTCATCATCAAGAAGTAGTACCAGCGGCTTTTGATTTTGAATTCTAATTCCTTGCATATTTATTTATGTGTGTTGTGCATTTATTGGTAATAATATGTGGCACCTTTTTTGGTTTTTTTTTTTTTTTTTTTTTTTCTTGGTAAGCATGTAGTAGTACTACTGCTGCCTTGCGTATGACATAAATTTGTTTTTTCTACATTTATTATAATTATAATATATATTTCTTCGCCGGGGATATATATATACACATATATGTTGGAAAACTTGTTTTGCAGTAGGCACCGACAATTTTGAGAAACCAATCTACATGTGTACTAATATTAATATTGTTGTTTTTTAAGTGAGAGCTTGTTATTTGGTTTCATCTGAGTATTGTCATTGTTGTTCCTGAATTTACTATTTCAATAAGTTGAAAAGACATTCTTCAGAGCTAGCCCCGTCCCGTGCTGTTATTTCTATAAATAAATTAAAAAAAGAAATAAAAAAGGAAAGATATCAGTATAAGAATCTTTTTGCAGCCAAATGAAAAGGAAGGGCGCTCTTGTATTATTGAAAAAACTATTTGGCGAAACGAGTATACCAGTTTCTTGCTAAAAATGAATAAAAATAAATAAAAATTTCAAACCACCTTCAATTCTTGTTGCTATTCCAATTTTCATTTTATGACCAGACAAAATCCTATACTAGCTTATTGGACTCATTTTATTGTAAATTACATTTGAACAATATTGAAAAAGATTAAAAACGAAACTCATGTATTAGTGGAGTGTAACCGTGTAAGTAAGTTTACAACAGAAAATCACTCACTTCGATAATTATATACAAAATGAAAATGTGTTATAGGCTCAAAATTGGAAAAACGGGGATACAACAATTACTACCTAAAAAAAGTAATTCCCCCTTTCATTTGTCATTTTCTGGGATTTCATTGGCGGATGAATTAACACTACTTTTTAGTAGCAAAATAAAATGTGCAATTGTCTTTTATGCACATACATATTGAGAGAAGTTGACAAGTGCATGGCATGTAATGTGGCTCTAAAGTATCTTGCCATAACGGAGGCAGGACGTGGGACCCACCAACCACATGCTCCGATCCAGAGCCTTCCCCAGATCGATGATCAGTGATCCGTCTTTACGGCTTACGGTGGGTGAATGTCTCCAATGCAAAAGGCCATTTTTTTGTCCTCATCCCCTTAAAATCTCTCCCTCTCTCTTCTCACTTCTCAGTCCCACTGGGTCCCACTGATACTTGCATTTTTTTTTTTTCTTTCCTGATGCTTGCTTGATTGCGAAGGGAGATACACAAAATATAGTGCCTGTTTGGAATTTTTTTTAAAACGATTTTCACGTATTTTAAGAGGTAAAAAATAAAAATAAAATGACATCTATTTAATAAATATTTTAAAAATGAAAATGAAAATAAAAATAGTAATAATAAATTAAAAAATAATTAAAAGTTGTTTTATTATTCTATTTTTATTTTTTAGTACTTATCAATAATATTGTAATATATTAATTAATAAATATGATTTTGTTTTTTTTATTATACTCAAAATAATCTCTTAAAAAAATAATCAAACGCAATTTTAGAATCGGTTCCAGAATCATTTTGAAACCAATTCCAAACTCACAATAATTTTGCTTTTTATGAATGATATACACATACACTTATATAATTATTCAATTGCAATTTACACATAGGAGATTATCAAATAATTACAAAACGTGTGTTATGCATTAAAATTATATGATGAATGAGGTGTTAAATTGTGAATTTGTCCGCGTCCTAAAATATTTGGTCATGAGAAATCTTTACAGATATCTTTTTAAGTGCACGAGTCTTGATTTTTATCTCTTATTTTTTATTAATACTCTTTTTAGTCAAATAGTTATATTAATAAAAAGATACTAATTAAAAGTAAGAGTTAAAAATCAATACTCATACATTTTTAAAGTAAATTCAACAATTTTCTTTTTGACTGTACAATTAGTTTATTTTTATATGGTTTGAGTATCTTTTCTTTTGAATTAGTTTTTGGAATTATAGTTCTATCTAAGCACCATTTACTGCGATATCAGAACTAGCTTTTACAATTGATGTTAGGTTTAGAGATTAGACTCTTGACTCTGAGGGAGGGAGTTGTTAAGGGGATATTTGGTTCATAGATTTATAACCATGATTCAGAATTATTTTCAGTTTATGTGTATTTTTTATGAGAGAAAATATTGTAGCGAACCACGAACCATAATTTGAATCATGACACAGATCTTTACTCCAAACGCACATTAAATTGTGAATTTTGCTTTCATAGCTAAATTACTTAACTGCTCTACTAAAAATACGAAAAACACAACAATAGGATTATGAATCAGTTTAAATTATTTTTAAACCACTAATTGTCAAATTTAAAACTTGAAAATGATGTTAGTATAATCCGATCCTCTTGGTCCTTCCGCACACACGTAAATATTACTCACAATTCACAAATGTGTTTCATCGAAAAAAATATATTACTCACTAAAAAAAGAATATTGCTACAAATGATGTAGTGCCACACATCAACGTCACGTGATGGAGGCCTGCATATTTATGGTACTGTATGTTTTAACTGTAAATATAAAAATATTGTATTATAAAATGTCTTCTTGCGGACCCACCAGCCCCCAGGAACAGAAATCTGCTGCACGTGCATGAACAGGGCCCACTGTTCAACGGCTCAGATGGTTCTTTTCTTTTTTCTTCTATCTTTCTTTAGTTCTAAAGCAAACGGGGAAGTCAACGGACTGATCGTTTGACTCAATACCCTTTTTTTCATTGGTAATTACAAGATTTACTGGGGATTTTGGTTTTTCATTAAGCATGGTTGACTTCTAAGCTCATTGAATTTGTATCAGATTAAAGTGTCTACATCATATCGCTAGAATGTTTCCCGCACCCGAATATTACCCCTGCTGCTCTGGGCCTGGGCGATACTTGTGTAATGCATCTCCCAGCCAAAAATAAATTAATTAATTAAAAATAAAAAAAAAATAATTAAGAGAGAGGACTGAGGAGCCCACTCTGTGTTGTTAAGTGTAAGAAAGGACAAGAACACAACAAAGGGTTTTTGGGCCCTCAGCCCATATTATAGGGGCTAGGTTGGTTTTGTTGGGCTAAATTTGGCCCTAAAAGGATTGGCTTTTCTAACCTTAAATTTGTATCCAAAAAGTATGAAAAAAATTTAAATGTTTATGAGAAGAAACAGCTTAATAAAAAGTTTAAATTGTATTCAAACCTCTGAAATATAGAGAACATACCCATTCAACTCTTTAGTTTAATATATGTCATTCTCTTGAAATATCACTCCTCTTAGATTAATATGTAAAGAAAAAAAGAATCAAGTGGAAAGTTTATAATAAAGAAAAACGTAAATTTTTATGCGCTCTCCTTGGAGGAATTTTTCTTATATGTATTTTGCATCATACATCAAAATCTAAAAGATAAAAAAAAGTGAGAATTTTTTTCTTTTCCGGATAAAAACATGAGTTTATTCATCCTCTTATATTATCGCAAAGAGTTTCTCTAGTAAGATCATAAAAAAAATAAATAGTGATATATAATTTTTTATTTTTCAACCGTCAGATATATATCAAACTTTTTTAATCTAATATGATCTTAATCAGATTTGACGGTTAAAAAATAACCCTACCGATAAGGAGATTTACGAGATAATGTTCCATTATCGTATCATATTGTGAGAGCAATTAATAAAAGAAACAAAAACCATTAACTGAAAAAAAAAAAAAAAAAAAACACGTATTCTTATATCATATCGTATCTTTCCATGTCATGCACTCGTGTGTCATATAATTAGCCTCCACTGTTGCACACAATACGTGTTGAAAGAACAAAGCAATTGAAAGCAACTATATATATTGATATATATATATATATATTGATATATATATATATATATATATATCATCCAATTCCAAATGTCCTTATTAAGATTTATGTACTCAGAACTTTGGAAGAGTTAAACAACGTAATCAATAAAAACATTAATTAGGTCTGGTATTGAAAGCTTATGGATCCAAGTTGAACCTTGGAAGCAAAGCATGTGAGTTGTGACTGCAAATGGATTCATGACTTCACAATCTTATAGTAGTCCTAGCTGCCCTCTTAACAAGGTTTATAAATTGTTTGTCGAGGGATATTAATTACACTCTCCTTCCTACATTATGTATATCTGCACAAACCAATTTTGATCAATAATACCAAGTCTATATTTTAGGGGGAAAAAAAAAAAGAGGTAAGAATCAATGAAGTAGTCGCCAGCCACAAAAAAAAAAAAAAAAAAAAAAAAAAAAAAAAAAAAAAAAAAAACCTTTATGGCCAAATTTTTTTTTCCTGTCAAAAAGTTCAAAGCAACTTGTGAAATTTTCATCTTGCCTCTTTTTCTTTCCTTCTATAAAGACCATATCCATGAATTATTGTAGCAATTATTGGATAGTTATAGTCTTTTGTGTGTAAATGTCTACGGTGCAATAATATAGCTCTTCATGTAACTTCTGAGCAGTCATGTACTGTTTCTCCTTGGCATTTGGATTTTTAGCTACGTTGGAGTACTTATTATCATCATATGCTTTTGGGACACCGGAGTCCATGCCAGCTTTGTGCATGTCGTGTGTATGTGAAAGATAAAACTCAAGAGAGTCAATACACATTGAAATTGTATTTTCATGTCTCATTAACTGTCTCTCTAATTAAACTTTAACAATTCGTGAATTATTTAAGTATTATTAGCATTTAGTTTCTATTTTTGAATCACATTTTAAAATTTAAATAATATGATAAATAAAAAATAAAGAGATACCTAATAAGACATGAAAACGGCTTCCTAAAAAAAAAAAAAAAAACGGAGATGGCATATCTAGACTCATATACAATAATAGATAACTCGTGCCCGTGTATAGCCAAATACTTCTTGATCATGTGTATACTTGTTGAAGAGTACTTAACCATTAACTTTCTATTTTTCTATGCCAAAGAAGAAAACTATGTTGGTTTCCCCTTATGCATGCTTTTGAAGTTTCAGCAGTATAATTGGATGTTTATTTTC